CCAAAGCAGTAAGGAGAAAGGGGAGGACTTGGGGGAGAAATTGCGGATTCCGGAGAAAAAAGTGGTTCAGAGCCGCGACGAGTTCAACAGCAGTCCGCCGTGTTATCGCAGGTACACCTGGGCTGCTCGATATTGTTGAGAATAGTGGTTGCGCGAACAGTCTGAGCATACGGTTGTCCGAACTCTGAGTCAATGCATCGGCAATGGCGATGAGCCCGAAAAGGCCGGTCTCAAGATCAAGCCATTTGCCTGCGCTCAAACCATGTAGTGCGAAGTCAACGAATTGATCAGTCAAAACATCTCGTAAGGGTTCGTAGGCATCCATAATGATGTCGCGAACATCGATACGGAATACCTTGAATGTCTTTCTGGCATCCGAATCCCAAGAGTCAGTAACGTCGGCTGGCGGGTAAATGATCTTCTGGACAAGCTCGGATATGGCTTGGAGGACATTGGCCTTGGCAGCATCCATCCATGCCGGTACCTGCTCCCCTGAGGGATACAGGAATGTTTCTTCGGACATAGCGCTGACATAGCTACTCCAAAAGTCAAGCACTACAGGAGCAACCTCATCCTCCGCGCCTACTGGTTCCGGATATTTGAGGAGGTCATGCAGGAATGACATGACTTGTTGGTAGTGCGCATTATCCGGCTGGGTGTAGATGACCTTGGACTCGAGCAGAATTTGTCCATAAGCCACAATGATTCTTGCAAGTGAGACGGTTTCGGCATCGGAGTTTTTCAGTATTTCCAGACCCCAAGGACCAGAGATGGCCGCCCATAGAATTTCTTGGTGCTTTTTCTCGAAGAACGTAGGGTAGTTTTCAAGAATCTCCGCGACAAGTTCCATTGCATCCTCAACATGATATTCAAGGCATGTTAGAGCAAGCTCGTTGACGGAGCGAAGATGTTGTAGCTTCTCTGGGCTGTCTTTGAACTCTGATTGAGCATAGAAGATCCACCCTGTGAAACATTTGAGAGCGGCTATACATATCTTCTCTCCTTGCTGCACAGACTGAGCATAGTTCGGGTCATCGATAGCTACCGATAGCCATTTGATGCCACGGCCAAACGACACATGAAGGAGGATCTCTACACTCTCGACATTTGCCGCCATGCGCTCATGAGGTTTCCGGTCTGGGACGTTTGAGGGTTTCTTAGATTCGTCTGCTAAACTCATTACAAAATCGAGCATGACCAAAAGCTGATCATCGGAGAATTGTGGCAATAGATCCCATGTTGAAGGGTGCTCGCTCAGGGCGGCGTCCAAGACTGGTTGCTGAACGGCAAAAGAGGCAGCCAAACTCCTAACACACTGAGTCCATACTGAAATGTGTTTGGTAAAGTACTGAGCCAATGTTGAGCTAATTTTGCGGGTTGCAATGGATGAAGTAGGTCGGGAAACGAGGTGATGGATGAGTGTTGATAATAGTTGCTCAGATTCTTCTTCGCTCAGCTCGGCTGAGTCTGCGTTGAGCTTGACGGTAAGGGTCAGAGCACCAAAGAAGCGAACCTGCTCATCGTCGCTCTTGAGGAGAGCATTTGCAATTTCCCATCCCTGAGGCGAGCGTTGGAGCACGCGCAGGGTGGCTTCGGTCTCTGAGATTTTTTTGGCCTGGCCAGGCTCGTATAAGGATTTGACCAGGCGCTCTATTTCTTCATACGGCAGTGGAAACGACTGGGCCCCATTGCTAGCCATGTTTTTTCTGAGGCCGGTGTCAGTGGATTCGGGATTGTTTTTGGGTATGCTGATGACGTTGTTTGCTTGTGCCAATCAAAATCTGCAATAGGCAGTAGTGTTGCTCGGGGGCGAAGCGGCGAGAGTCATGCAAAGGCCGATGACGAAGATGAGGAAAAACGGAGCGAGGTCAAGCGGGATTGGGGCTGGCCAGATATCATGGCTGGCCCGACGTCCATTCACCCAAAACTAGCTCGTGGAGAGGCCCAAAGGAGTAAAGCGCGACTAAAGGGCGGGAACTGGGCGCCAGAAGGATGCAGATTGTGCGACTTACACGATGTGCGGGTTGCAGCCTGGAGAATCTAGTAGTGGTTTCTGGGATTATTGCAGGCTGAGCATAGTGAGCCGTGTCCGGGTGGAGAGTGGTGAGAGACTAGTAGTAGGCAAAGCGAGAAGGCAAAGGTGAGGTGAGCAGACTGAATGACATGTACCTGGGCGCGTAGTGGGGCAGGGTCAACAGCAGGCGACAGCGATGCAAGTGCAAGTCCATGGCCTCTGGCAGAGCATGCAGAAGACGCCCAGCTGTGGCGGGCGATTTAAAGACGGCGGTGCCTGAGCAAGAGGGTTTTCGTGCTTGGCGATGTTGGTCCCAGGGTCCACCGTGGGGTGCGAGGCTGTAAGTAAGCTGATGCTGTGGGCTGGAGATTGGCGGGGTGGCGTGCATGTACCGATTGACCGTCGGCATAAACCAACGTGTCACTCCTTGATGCTCTTGCCGCGTATCTTACGGCGGTCCCACGCGATAGCCGCTGCATGTGTAGCTGCAAAGTCGCCATTCTCCTCCACCAGACATCTTCACGCTTCTGCCGCCCTGCGTGCCATCGACATGGCCAAAGTAGATACATCCCACCGGCTGGCAGAGCTCCGCAAGCTCATGAAGGAGCGCAATGTCGACATCTACAGTACGCCTGCGCCCCCCAACAAGGCTGCAAATGGGTCGCTGACATTATGCAGTGGTGCCCTCCGAAGACAGCCATCAGAGCGAGTACATTGCCCCGTGTGACGCCCGCCGAGGTCAGAACAGGACCCCCGCTACTCGTCGTATCCCACCCTATTGACCCTTCCTAGCATATATCAGTGGCTTCACTGGCTCCGCTGGCTATGCAGTCATCACACATGAGAAGGCAGCCCTCTCGACAGACGGACGTTATTTCAACCAGGCCGAGAAGCAGCTGGACAGCAACTGGGAGCTGCTGAAGCAGGGCATACAGGACGTGCCTACCATCCAAGAGTGGACCGCAGACCAGGCCGAGGGAGGCAAGGTTGTTGGCGTCGACCCGAGCGTAGTCACAGCAGCAGACGCCCGTAAACTTGCGGACAAGATCAAGAAGAAGGGCGGCGAGTACAAGGCTGTTGACGAGAACTTGGTCGATTTGGTATGGGGCGCAGAGAGACCAGCTCGCCCAAGTGAAAAGGTCATTGTCCAGCCCGACAAGTACGCTGGCAAGAGCTTTAGCGACAAGATTGAGGATCTACGAAAGGAGCTGGACAAGAAGAAGAGCCTGGGTTTTGTTGTGTCCATGCTTGACGAGGTCGCGTGGCTCTTCAACCTCCGTGGCAGCGAGTACGTGTGCCATGAAGCCAAGTTAAAGAACCCAAACTGACGTCGCACAGCATTCCTTACAACCCAGTCTTCTTCTCGTACGCCGTCATCACACCCACCGCCGCTACACTCTACGTCGACGACAGCAAGCTACCCGAAGACGTCAAGAAGCACCTGGGCGACAAAGTCACCATTCGTCCATATGAAGAAATTTTTGGCGATGTCACCGCACTAAGCAAGGAGCTCTCTGCAACAAGCGAAAAGGACGCTACACCCAAGAAGTTCCTGACCTCGAACCGGGCTTCATGGGCGCTCAACAAGGCCCTCGGTGGTGAAGACAAGGTCGAGGAGACGCGGAGTCCAGTCGGAGATGCCAAGGCAGTCAAGAACGAGGTCGAGCTGGAAGGCATGCGACAGTGTCATATCCGCGACGGAGCTGCATTAAGTGAATACTTTGCCTGGCTAGAGGACCAGCTGATCAACAAAAAGGCTACGCTGGACGAAGTCGATGCTGCTGACAAGCTGGAGGAGATTCGCAAGAAGCACGACATGTTCATGGGTCTTTCCTTTGATACCATTTCGTCAACAGGCCCAAATGCGGCAGTCATACACTACAAGCCAGAGAAGGGTGCATGCTCAGTCATTGACCCCAAAGCCATCTACCTCTGCGACTCTGGAGCGCAATACCGTGATGGCACTACAGATACCACGCGGACACTGCACTTTACAGAGCCAACCGAGATGGAGCGCAAAGCATACACACTCGTGCTAAAAGGTAACATGGCTCTCGAGCGCGTCAAGTTTCCAAAGGGCACGACTGGCTTCGCTTTGGATTCGTTAGCTCGCCAATTTCTGTGGGCGGAGGGCCTTGATTACCGTCACGGCACAGGACATGGTGTCGGGTCGTTTCTAAATGTTCATGAGGGGCCGATTGGGATCGGCACAAGGGTACAATATTCGGAGGTCTCATTGGCCGTCGGAAACGTCGTGTCCGACGAGCCCGGATACTACGAGGATGGAAAGTTCGGAATCCGAATCGAGAATATGGTCATGGTCAAGGAAGTCGAAACCAAACACAAATTTGGCGACAAGCCGTATCTCGGTTTCGAGCATGTGACAATGACACCTCATTGCCGCAACTTGGTTGACATGAGCCTGCTCACAGAGGACGAAAAGGCGTTTCTCAATGACTACCACAAGGAAGTGTATGAGAAGACGAGCAAGTTCTTCGAGAACGACGCCTTGACATTGGAGTGGTTGAAGCGCGAGACGGCACCATACTAGAAAAGTAGTGTAACAAGCAATCAGGAAGATAGTCTTGAGGACAACAAGGTAGCCAGTAGTCTGTGGCTCGGCATTGGCATTAGCACATGCACATACGTTCTCACAGGTGCAGCGTTGGTACGATACATACTAGGCATGGAGTAAGCATGGGCCTTGACATTCTGCAGCATCGTCCAGGGTCTTCTGGTGGCCACAGACCCACTCGGACCGAAAGCTCATCAGGTGAGTTACTAAGTGTACACTAATATTTGCAGTAATGTATGCAATGTCTCCAGTCCGGTACCGCACCATGAACTCATGGAGAGAGACGGGCTCCGGTGGCCCAAGGCCATGACGGCAATTAACGGCCATGGCAGTCAGCAAGGCCGAGAGCGTGATTGGACGGCCAGAACAGGGCGTGTGTCAAAGGGCGCATGGTGGGGTCTAGAAGGCCGCGGGTGATGGCGGGGCAAGCTCCGAGCTGTGCTAAGGATGGCGGGATAGAGGGACCTTGGTAAGGCAAAAAAAATATTGCGATGCCCGCGGGTACATGTACAGGTAATACATTTGTTTCGACGTTGACTCACGATCTTACCTGGGATTTTCCTAAACGACTTTGATTGCCTATTGTGGCCTTGGGCGGTATTACTTGACTACTAATTAGCTCTTTCTTTCTCTTGCTTTATATCTCTCTCTTCCTCTTTGTTTCTTGAATCATCCCACTGTCAGATTCAATTCCTATACCTGTCATCTTTTTTTCTTCTCCAAACGACGCAATGGCAACTGAACTCCCCACCACCAATGGCAACCGCGCCCAAGATGGCGAGAATAACTTTGCTGTCAAGGCCGGATTGGCACGTATGCTGAAGGGCGGAGTCATTATGGACGTTGTCAATGCTGAGCAAGTATGTCAATTCCTTCTCTCGAGCCCGGGGATTTCCCATGGACACAAGTATGAAGCAGTCTGGTTAACCACATGATGTACACAGGCACGGATAGCAGAAGAAGCCGGAGCCTCAGCCGTCATGGCCCTTGAGCGTGTCCCCGCCGACATTCGCGCTCAAGGCGGCGTAGCACGCATGAGCGACCCCAAGATGATTAAGGAAATCATGGACACGGTCACCATCCCCGTCATGGCCAAAGCCAGAATTGGTCATTTCGTTGAATGCCAGGTAAGTCTATATTCCCTCCCCCTGTATCTACCCCCTCTAAACGCAACCAATTCGCTGACAGTCGACACAACTAGATCCTCGAAGCCCTCGGCGTAGACTACATCGACGAATCCGAAGTCCTGACCCCCGCCGACGCCGTGCACCACGTCTCCAAGCACCCCTTCCGCATCCCCTTTGTCTGCGGCTGCCGCAACCTCGGCGAAGCCCTACGCCGCATTTCCGAAGGCGCCGCTATGATCCGCACAAAAGGCGAGGCGGGAACCGGCGACGTCATCGAAGCTGTGCGCCACATGCGCAGCGTGAACGCGGAAATTGCCCGCGCGAAGAACATGTCAGAGGAGGAGCTGCGGGTTTATGCCAAGGAACTCCAGGTTGACTATGCGCTTCTCAAGGAGACTGCTAAGCTGGGACGGCTTCCCGTTGTCAACTTTGCAGCGGGCGGTGTGGCGACACCCGCGGATGCGGCGCTCATGATGCAGCTAGGCTGCGATGGCGTGTTTGTGGGATCTGGCATTTTCAAGTCGGGAGATGCGGCCAAGAGGGCCAAGGCGATTGTGCAGGCGGTCACGCATTATAATGATCCCAAGGTGTTGATGGAGGTTAGTATGGATTTGGGCGAGGCGATGGTCGGGATTAACTGTAGTTCCATGGCGGAGGAGGAGAAGCTGGCGAAGAGGGGGTGGTAAGCTCAGATAGGAGAAAAGAAAGGGGGGGGGGGTGTATGTATATGAAGGGGATTGATATGGCGTTTTCTTGTTCTATTCAATAAAAATGGAGGAGGGGGATGTAGTATAGAAAGATGAAAAATGGTCGAGTGGGATACTCCTGACTCCGATTCAACATTTTGCTTGTTCTTCTTGTCTTGCATTCTGAGTCGTCTCGTTCTTTTCATCGGATGACACATTGCTCATTTGAACAGTTCTCATCACTATATCAAACCATGTCAAACCACAAATCACGTCATTCTCAAGGCCGAGGCAAAGCGAGTAGACAGACAAACACGGTCACAACATGAACAAAGACACACATACTACAAACACGGTGGACTTTTGTTGTTTACATTGAGCTACCTGTAATCAAAACTGCAAACGGTGCAGATATGCCCATGCAGCAGACAGTGAACCCGCACCCTCACTGTTTATAACCGACTAGTGGCCACTAGTGATGTTTACCAAGAGGGCGTCACCTTGTCACACCCATGGAAAATAGAAATGATTCATAACCGTCAAACTCCGCTGCGCCAGAGACAAACCCACTCATAGCAGCGCATGGCCCAAACCTACCCGCCGTGACTGCCGGTAGCAAGGCATACAAGAGGTAAGAAAGATTCAGTCAAGAGACTTGGGTCTTTGTTATCTTAGCGGTCCTCGGCCCACTCGTTCTCCCGGCGGATTTGCTCCTCCTCCTCGGGGGTGAAGTCGTTCTGAATGTTGAACGTCTTACGGATCTCATCGGGCGACTTTCCCTTGATCATGTTGGCGACCGTCTTGCAGCCAACATCGAGGAGGGCCTTAATGTCGAGGTAGTTGGCGGCGAGGATAATCTCAAAAAGCATCTCTTGGTCGACCTGCATGAACTTCTGGTCCCACTCGTCAATGTCGGTTGACTTCTTGCGCGAGTCCGAGTCGTCGTCCTGGGTGGCGGGTGGGTCGTTCTTGTGGTGAGTGCACCACTCGAGCACCTTCTTCATAACGGCTTCATTTACCTGGGAGCTGTCAGCGGTGATTGCTTAGGCAGGTGGTAGTGTGGCATACATTAGGGATGGGGATGGACTCGTCGGATTCACCACCAAGATCCTCGAGCAAGTTCTTGATCAGGATGGAGCGCTCGGCAACGGGGCGCTCGACTTGCATGTTGACGCCATCAGAGGTGGTGATGCTGATGAGCTTGACACCTTCGGCATTAGTGGAAGCCATTGTAGTAGGCGTTGGGGGAGGTGGTGTAGAGTAGACGTGTAAGTGGGGTAAGCTGTGGCTGGGGTGGAGATGAAGTGCGCAGAGCCAGAAGTCAATGGGCTACTGGTCGGAGCAAGTGGGTTGGTGGTATTGGGAGAGGCAAAGAAGGCGACGGCGGGGGGTTATATAGAGACGGGGTGTTTGTAGGTTTGCGCACAGAAGAGAGGTAAGTAAGAGAAAGGCAACTATGATGGTCGCTCGTCCGCCGCCGCCAGCCAGAGGCGAGCTTAGGCCAAGCCGTCCCAATCAGGCCCAAGCGCAAGGCTGCCGTCGCCAAAGACACCCTTTGCCCCTGCCACCGACACATAGCGCGTGAAGGGAGCATTGTCAACTTCGCTACCACTACTATTCACACGGGATGCGCCTTTGATTGACACGGACTTGGGCCTTTGTCTCTGTGCATGGCTGCTCGAAACGGCTTCGGTTTGCGCCTTGTTTGCGGATGCTCGCAGGCTGCACGGTGCTGCGGCGCTGGAGCCAGCGGAGCCCTGTGGATGAGGGGTCTCCCCTCCCTCTCCGCGCGACGACGAGAGCAGATACTGGGGCCGTACTGGGGCCGGTAGAAGTAGCCAGAAGGCCGATTTTTGGAGTCGAATGGCGCAACCGAAACAAAGGATGCCTGGCTAACCGTGTCCTGTACTATGTAGATACGTATGTATTGCGCATATGTAGTTATGTACTATGAGTTCAACATGTCTGCCATTGAGCGACGTCCCGCTATGACGAACGCGTCGACCGTGGTATTTTCAAGTCGTTCACAGAGAAGCCAACTGTGTCTCTGCAGAAATACATGCACACATGGTATTACAAACAGGTGTTCATTCATCTACACCAGGATCCCGGTCATGACAGGAGCAGGTACACCATTGATGTTCTGCCACGTGACGGCGCTGGCCGAGGATGCGAGCTGGCTGCCTGGCTGCCTGACTGCCTGACTGCCACTGGCCCATCTGATCAAGCCGCCTGACAGCAGTCTCATCTCTCGACTCTGCTCTCCAGCCTGCCATGAACTCGGACCGTCTTTGCACTCCAAGACCCATGTCTGACAACATTCACGCCTTGCACCAATTATGACAGTCGGCTCCCCCTTATCCGCATCCAACTTCTTGGTTGACATAGGCCTGCACTAAAACATGCGTTGGCCTCACTTTTGCGCAAACAATCACTCCACCACAAAAGATATGCCCTTGTGCGACGTGGCCATTACACACTCCGGCTTCCCCATACTGCTGTCATCATGTGGCGGAGAGTCTACTTTCTCCTCATTCTAGTCCGCATCTACTTTGCCCTGTCGCCCAGTTACCTGCACCCTGACGAGAACTTCCAGGGCCCAGAGGTTGTTGCTGGTATGCCTGCCCTGCCCTGCCCTGCCCTGCCCTACGCAAACTTGTGGCCCCTCACACTGACAATTACCAGGACGCGTCTTCTCCTACCCCGTCCACGAAACATGGGAATTCACCTCGGACCACCCCATTCGTAGCACCTTCCCACTATGGCTTGCATACGGCTGGCCCATGTACATCCTGCGCTGGCTATGGGAGGGCTCTGGAAATGACGTTTCGCCGTCCGTCGTCTACTGGACACTGCGCGTGCTCATGCTGTCGCTGAGCGTTGTCATGGAGGATTGGGCAATCCACGAGTTGGTTGCGTCGCCCCGCGCCCGACGCATCGCCGTGGTGCTGGTCGCATCCTCGTACGTGACATGGACTTTCCAGACGCATACGTTTTCAAACAGCCTCGAAACATTATTGGTGCTCTGGAGTCTGGTTTTGATCCAGAGAATCACTGGCGATAAGGTATGGCTACGTCAGCCATTCGCCTACCTAGCATATGCAGCTAACCAGACTTGCAGAAACGCTCCGGCATACTAGCCTCGTCCATCTTGGGCTTCATGGCCGTCGTCGGCATATTCAATCGCATTACCTTTCCAGCATTTCTGGTTCTGCCTGCTACAACACTGCTACCGCACTTCCAACGCAAGTCAGTCTACTCCTCGTTCGCGCCACTCGGACTATACTGATATCCGCAGGCCATTTTCGCTAGTCTTCTTGGCTGCATTCGCTCTTGCGACAGTCTTCCTTGCCGTCTGTATTGACACGGCCTTTTATACCCCAGGCGAATTTACCTTTTCAAAAGTATTTACTACTCCCGTCATTACGCCCTTCAACAACTTTCTCTACAACTCCCAGCCCGAGAATCTCGCCCAACATGGCATACATCCGCGGTATCAGCACTTGCTGGTCAACCTCCCTCAACTACTCGGGCCTGCCATTCCGCTCCTGTTCTTCCTGCGCAAAGCGCACATCACCATGAACCTGATATCAGCCCTGTCTGGTGTCGCTCTGCTCAGCATCTTCCCGCACCAAGAGGCTCGCTTCTTGTTGCCCGCAGTACCCTTGGTCCTGTCCTCGATACGCGTACCGAACCCGCCCTTCAAAAAGCCTTGGATAGCGGCGTGGGTCATCTTCAATGTAGCCTTGGGATTATTGATGGGCGTATATCATCAAGGCGGCATCGTGCCTGTACAGATCAATATTGCCAAGACCAACGAAACTATCAGCCATGCGTTTTGGTGGAAAACCTACAGTCCACCTACCTGGTTATTAAACGGCAAGAATGAAGAACTCAAGACTGTGGATTTGATGGGCTGCCCGGGTGAGCAGATGCTCGAAAGAGTAAAGGAAGCGCTACCGCCTTGTCGGACTCGAAAACCTCCGCGGATCGAGGATCAAGGTGCTACGTATCTTGTGGCACCACGGTCTGCCTATTTTTTGAAGCCATATCATGACGCAACCAAGCAGAATGATGTTCGGCTAGAAGAAGTGTGGAGCTACCGACAGCACCTCAACCTAGACGACATGGATTTCGCCGACGACGGCGTTTGGAACACCCTCAACCGTGTTATTGGCGATCGAGGCCTGGTAGTGTGGAAGGCCACCCGTAACTGCTCGACCCTCTCTTAGCGAGATACAGTCATTTTTACTCGCACGTCACATGATATGAAATGATGTCAGTGCGAGTGTAGGGGTGTCTGGTAGACTCAATGTTATACGGGGGTCGGGGATTTATAAACTTTCACGATACCTGGTAGACACTAAGCTATTGGGAGCACAGGGAGTTGTAAACTTTCACCTTGGCTTCTTCTTTTTTACTCCACGTTTTCATGTCCCATATCTAGATACCCGCTACATAGCTCACAGATAATACTGAACAATGGCAGGGACGAGAATCCCAACGTCTGGAATCGACTTTTCCGTGTCTTTTATCTTGCGTGATGATTGTGGTTTTGACTAATAATACATATTCCTACACTGCGTCTCTCGCAGAAGAAGAAGACGAAGCATCAATCTACGACCTAGATACAACTCTCCCTTTTCTCCATCAACCAGAGCCTACAAGGCCCCACCAAGTACCCGTACCGCCCACATCGCCAACCTCACATTCATCCCCACCTTCCTCTCCTCCTTCTCAAACTCCCTCTCATCAACCCTCTTCGCATGCTCCCCCAACCACTTCACTTCCTCGCCCAACCGCCTCCTCAACCCCGGGTCAGTCGTAGAAATTATAACATTGGCCTCGAGATCGAGTTCGTACGCGCGCTTCGTGTAGTTCGAGGACCCGATGACCGTTAGACACGGGTCGGTATCAGCATTCTCCTTAGCCGACGACGACGACGCCGACTGAGAAGAAGAGGAGGAGGAGGAGGAGGGTAAAGCAACCCAAATCCCCTTGGCATGATACGTCCAACCCCCCTCCTCCCCCACCATCCCCTTCCTCCACTCCTTCAGCACAATACTATCACTCAAACCCTGATATTTCACCTGCCTTAGGAACATCTTGGCCAAATGCGTATACGCAGCTGGCAACATACCGCTTACACCTTTAGAGCCGTAGAATCCGTTTGCGTGCGGGTGCGCGGTTAGCACTGTGCCCGAGGCGGGGCGTGTGGCGAGGAGTAGGCGCCGGAAGGAAGGGGTCATGTTGAAGTAGCCAGCTGTGAAGGTCCAGGTGCTTGGGGTGTGGGCGAGGGTGGTGAGAAGCGAGGTTAGGGCGGGGAGTTCGCTTGAGGAGGGGAGGAGTGGGACGAGGGAGAGGATGGGATGGATTGTCGTCGTTGTTGAATCCGAGCTTTGTTGCGAGGAAGAAGGGGGTGAGTTCGCGGGTGTAAGGAGATGCGATAGATGCTTCTCTGCTGCTTTTCTGTACAAAGACGGGTTCGAGAGGGGATTCGGACCCGCGTTGGAAGATGGCCAGGCCATCTGGTATCCTCCTGCGCCCTCCGCGTCAGACGGCTGGATGTCGAAACTCAGTGCGGACACGCCGTCGTGGATCTTGGCAAAGTACGAAGTTAATTCTGCAGAGCGGAATAGATGGTAGCGGTCCTGGCGGTTGGTGAAGTAGTCTTCGCTGAGGTTCGCGCCGCTCATGATGATTTCGTCGTCGATGCCGTAGAGTTTCATGTGCTGGAGGCCCCAGCCTTCGTTGATGCGTTTGGGGATGTATTTTTTACGGACACCGGTGAGGTTGGGTGTGTGGTACATGCGTATTTGGACTCTTTCTGCGCCGAATTCTGTGATTAGAGGGGCGAGGAGCGAGGCCGTGGATGGGTTGGGGGTTTCTCGGGTCCCGCGTAAGGCGTCTGTTAGGAATGAGACGTGGAGATTGGGGTTTTTAGCGAGGGCCGCGCGGATGGTGCTGATGAGGTCGTGTTCTGTTTTGCCAATGTAGAGGGTGCTGAGGTAGACTCTATGTTGGGCTTTCGAGATTTTGTCCTGGGGCGGGTTAGTGGGATTGGAATGGTGAGTGTTGAGTTGTGCTGTCTCACGTATTTCCTATGGCATATCTTCTAAAGCTACTGAACCGAGAAGAAGTGAGACGCTACTACGTAGCTCATCTTTGGGAGTATTTCCTTGACATTAAGAAATAGGAGGTACATTCGTAAGAGTCCCGATGACCAAGAAGACAGTTCCTCTGATATTGTAGAAATTTACGAAAAAAGAGAATGAAGCAAATATTTACAAAACAACCGAGCATCTGATACATGCTTGACAAGCAAAGGTGAACATAAGAGAAAGAAATATCAACCTACCTTCAGCGTTTGATAAAACTCAGCAGGCGTCTGAATAATCTGAATTTGCTCGGGCTGCATTTCAAACCTCGGAGCAATCTTATCCAGATCCGAAGTAATCGTCGCCAGCATCGCCGCCTGGCTCTGCGGCACCTGCGACGTCATTCCCGCAGTCGAGGTCGAATACCTCCTCGTCGTCTTGGTCAGTCTGCCAGGAAGACAAAATGCCCTTTTTCCCGCAATCCGGGGCGCTTGAATTCTTAACAGGCCTCGACTTATCATCGTCCCGGAAACCCTCGCTGCACACTGTCGAAAAATTGATATACGTTGAAGTCTTGAAGTATCAACATCGGATGCACTTTAGGAAACGAAGGACATCATCGCGCTAGCTCAGAAAAAGGTATAGCGTGAGCGACAGTCTTGGCATCATCAATCACGCCTCAGCGACGTCCGACGAGCGGGCAACCAGCGACCATCAACCAGCTCGCACCACAGCCGCCATGTCGACGCTCATGAGAACGCTGCGCAACCTGCGCCGGATCGGAATTAAGGCAAGCTCTCTACCCTAGCTTCATTGTCGCAGTAGCATCATCACTAACTATGACCTAGGATTATGCTCACCAAATGGCGGTACGCTCATGAAATTCCCCCTCCTTCAATTGCCTCCTCCCCGGAATACAAACTGATGGATCCGCTTCTCGCTTGTAATAGAATATCGGTACGCCTTTTTCGCACACGGCTATCTGTGCAATTGGACACAAGAGAACGTGGGGGGACTGATGTATTGCAGGTGATACCAAAGCCGGAACCTTGATTGGCACGGATAGATATGGCAACAAGTACTTTGAGAATCTGGAGGAGGAGCTGCCGCGTAAGGATTACCATTATCTCGACTGGGGGAACCTGTAAGAAAGGAACAATGGTGGCTAATCGCATGAGACAGTGCGAACACGTTGGGTAGACTACAAGGATAAGGAGTTTGATCCGTAAGTTTTCGCCTGTATAGGACGCGGTAGCCATATTAACGCGCAATCATACAGTTCTCAGATCGAGCCCGGATGGTACGTTTTCTTCCTGTATTAGTCATTACAGAGGGGCATCTTCTGACTTTGGGGGTTGTAACAGGCACGCTTGGATGTCATACATGGTCGACAAGTCACCAGCCGTAGACCCGCTTCTGCAGCGTCAGGTCCGCGTTTGGGAGCCAAAAGAGCACAGGCCTACCCTTACTTGGAGTCGATCTGGATACAAGCCTTACAGCACGTACGTTCTACATTTCTGTCCATTTTTTTGTAATCTTTTGCGCCTGATTCTCTTGTTTTGCTGACTTATGCAAATAGCGTCAAGAACAAGTATTCCCCATGGACCCCCGTAGCCAAGCCTCGTGCGTAGATAGGGAAATCACCATTAGTCTCACTTATGCAAAATCGTCAAAGCCCCTAGTTCTTCATTCATCACGTATGTAGTTCTTGGAAGTTATATGTGGCTGTTTTCTTCCTTGTCGGCAATCCATCTTACATAAGATCAAAACTGTGGCGTGCGTATTTGTTTTATTAGGCTGAAGGCGGGGGGGATAGTGATCAGCTCACGACCCCAAAACTACTAAGATTCCCAACATGAGATTGTTCTTTTGCGATTTACGTCTTGGTATTGCGAAAAAAAGTGATGGGAGTGATATTGATTGATTATTCATGAGGGTAGAAAATAAGACCACATCACATAATCATACATTCTATCGCTACCATTTCTTGGTCTTGAGAAAGAGAACCATACAACGTTCTCTCCATGTAAAACCCCCCAATTCGTCTACGTCGAGGGAAGAAAAAAAAAGGCCACCTTGACGTTTCTACGCTTCTTCCAAGCTCTTAAGCAGCAAGGGAAGGAGAACCGACTTGTTGTACTCCCAAAGAATACTGCTATCCTGACCCCTCCACGCAGCACCCGTATAAAATGTACTGAACTGGCCCTGCAGCGCATTCATCCGGTCGTAGAAGCCATCTAAGATGTCCTGGGAAGAGACCTGTAGGTAAAAGGGGACGTGGGAATTCGTGACAATGACCTCGGGCTGAGTCTGAGTAAAGTTTGCATTCGCCCGGTTGACAGTCTGGAGGCGTTTGAGGTCGGCGATGATGAAGGCCTTGATTTGGTCGTCGGTGTATGCGTAGGCGGCGGTTGAGCGTTCGATTTGGTAGAAGAATGTCGTGTGGCCGGGGATACCGCTGGGGCCGGCGAAGATGGCAGCGGGTAGGTCGGGGATACCGAGGGGACTATTGGGGTTGATGTTGTCTACCTCGAGGTCTGGCAAGCCGCTGTTCTTGAGGATGAGGCTGTAGTAGCCAGCGTTGAGCCACTTGCTGAAGACGTTGCGCTCGGCTTGCGTGGGGTTGAATTCCTTGAGGTTTTCTAGGCGAGGAGGAATGGAAATCAGAAGTTTCTTTGCGCAAACGTACTTGATGCCCTCGGGTGTCTGGACGACGAGTTCGACGCCGGACTGCTTGCGTTCTGAGGCAACGACGCGAGAAGAGAGCCAGATGCTGTTGCTTTCGGCGAGCTCAGCCCCGGCCTTGAGGTAGAGCTCGCTGTTGTTCCTGCGTGCAGTCGTCACGAAGCCCGGTCCTCCGATTTGCTGAATCAGGGGCAAGCCAAGTACACGGGCAAATTCAACAACGGGGATGGTCATGGGGTTACCAATACCGGTGTTGAGTCGAGTAAAGAGTGGGATGGCTGCCTCGATGCCGAGCTGCTGGACTAGTTGACCAAAGGGCATGGCCAATTCTTCGGGCACAGGCCTGGGCAAGAACATGCCAGCAGCGAGCTGAGGGTACTTGGACAAGAAGGTAGCATACTTCTGAAGTGCTTGACCGAAGGCTTGCTGGCTACCTTGCTGAACAGTGATGTTGAGGATAGCGCCTGACTTGAAGTCGACAAACATGTTTGAGCCAGCAGTAGTCACCCCGGGGGCTAGTGGGATATTGAAGCGCCGGAAGTATTGGTTGACAAGAGTATTATTGTGCCATATGTTGACACCGTTGTCTGTAGTCAAACCAGTAGCTGGATCGGTATAAGTGTGTGTGTGACCGCCTGGAATAGTCTTGGCCTCAATAACAATGACAGATTTGCCAGCGTCCTTGAGTAAGATGGCGGCGTTGGTTCCAGAGGAGCCTCCACCAATGATTGCTACATCGCGTTTGATGACGTTGCGAGTATCAACGTCAGGAGGGAGGGCCAAAGCAGGTGAGAGGCCAAAGAAGGCAACAAGTGCCGCTGCAAGCACTGTTGAAGGCTGCATTATGGGGTATAGATTATCAAGAAATAGCAAGCATGAGTGATTGCGATGATGTGGCAGATTCTCCCTGTGCGACAGATTATATTTCATTCCCTATTGTTATTCACGTTAGGGCTGAGTATCCGGAGGTGCCGTAAAAGAGACGGATCAATGTTAAAGTGTGATGAGATTTTAGTGCGTTGCCCTTGTAACTGTGATGGCTACTATCCTTGCGGTTATCCTAATGAAAACGGATGAAGTGCGTCCCGAAGTTCCATGATGGACTTGAGCAGTAAACATGGGATAAATAAGCTGCTTGAGCAATGGAGCTCTTTGTCTGAGTGTTGTAGAAATGGCACTCGGTAGCTGCCACATTTATTTAGTACCTTACAATCGAGCGGTAGGGTTACAAAGGGGCTGGAAACGAATTTGGCTTTTTTGAATTAGCAATTCCTTATTTGAATTATTAAGCCTACGCTTGGATGCACGGAATGCCTATGAATGCGGGCCCTCCTGATGATGACATGCGAAGTGAATTTACCTGTATATCAGTATAATCCCAACTGCGAACACGATCATGTCTTTGCTTCCACAAGTCCAGACTCGAACTGGGTCGATCAGTGTTTTTTTTTTCGTCGTTCAGCCTAGCTCTCATGATCTGAGTTGCTACATGGTTTGTGGAGGCTTTGGAATGCAAAGTCAGGGTGCATGCATACGCGGCAGATGGCGGCTCTCTGTCCGTGCATGGGTCAGTACTTTAGGCTTTCTTACTACCGGTCATTATTGACGGAGGCTGCGAGCCAGGCAGGCCTAGGCCTCACCACATTGAGATGGCTGGCAGCTGTTACAATGAGATTCGAAGGAGATGAACAGCTGCGCAACGGCGAGTACGCTGTGTTTATAGTTCAATCTATTGGGAATAGCTGGTGAGATTCTTGTTTTCCGGAATGGGCGGAGGAGAGGCCCAAGCCTCGCCATGGGCTGAGCCGAAGGCTCCATAAGCCGGAGACCTGTCCCATCTTCCATGCAGCGGTTATAGGCTTGTCATAGGACAAGCTTTGACAATCAGACTGCATTGACTGACGGAGATCACCAGTTCAACTGCTAAGTAAGTGAATGTGACATCCAGAAGCATACTTGTGGGGGAGCAGTGTGGTGGAGGTGACCAATGCTGCGATGTTGAAGGTCATCACTCCCAAGACACAGTCACGTGCCATCACGCCCCAATTGGTCGCAATCTTTGTTTGTCGCCTTATTTGAAGCACAGTCTTGCTGTCAGCAAGATGCGGCGCATAGTTTTTTTTTCACTCTATTTCTACTTGTTTTTTGGCGTTGTTTGACGAGCGAACGTGTCCGACTCTGTTCGTGTATGGTATAAGATGAGAGGGTGTACTTAATGTTCAGCACAGCAAGAAATGTCAAGATATCCAGGGACACACGTCTCACTCGACTCAGACACAACTAGATGAAGAGGCGTGGTTTTGGTAGAGCAGATATTGCAAGCGGTGTCACAGGTGATATGGGATGCTTATACATAGGATGCAGATGGGGCTAAGTTGTGGGGTAATCGATCACGCAGTCCCACCGTGGCGTGTGGGCCGCTACCACCGTTTGCTTGGCTGCTGTAGGTACCGTCTGCCAACTGGCGAGGCGAGACGAGGGACTATATGGAGTCGATCATGGTGGTTGGACAAGGCCGTTGTGGTGACAAGGTCGATGCTGCATCAAACAGCTGGGGGCCGGAGTTGGCCGTAGGATGGCCGAGGGCGTACACATGCAAAAGGGCGCATGGGAGTGAGTGGCCGAGGCTGCGTCTGCGCGTACGCCTGCAACGACAACAGCGATGGGGCAGATGGGACAATCTACACTACACTATACTTGTCAAATGGCGGTGGCACGTCTGGTCCGGTGGCTCTGGCAGTGTCGTCCGGTGTGGTGGTGGTGGCCAATTGGCTCAGGCGTATATCCGCAGAAGGCGTCGGATCTCCTCTGACGCCAAGCCATCATCGGTCAAAGTGCCGGATTACATCACAAACGGCCTTCGCGCTCATCAACGTCAGTGCGCATACGGAAAGGCTTTTGGGGCGACTAGTTATCGTAACAAAGGCGCGGTAAAGTCGAGCAGGCAACACCCTTCCTCTGAAATCACCGCACCAACCGTGAATCTCAGCGCCCAGAGACACTGCTGCCGTTGTTTATTTACTGCCGCGCAAGCACCTCGACACCACTGCTGCTTATATCCGTCGAGTCGCGCTGCCGCCCTCCGATGCGCTTCACCGCTCGCCGATAACGAGAGCGAGCGTGAGTGTTGAGAGCGAGTGCGCGAGGCCTGGGCGCAATTGGACACGCCCATCACCACCACTGTCGCCGCTGCGCACCGCAGGCCTCGTACAACAGCAGCCGACATCATGTTTGCCCACTGTAAAGGCCCGCTCTGGGGGATAGACGACTTCTCCACCTGTTTCGAGCGCGAGTACGTCAAACCCGCCGTTTGGCCATGCGCCACCACCACCACGAACAAAAGGCGCCAAAACTGACGCGCGCCACAGCTATCTCCAGACATTATTCCCGCTCATTATTTGCGCCATATCGCTCCTCTTCCTGCTGCGGCAGCTCTACTCGGCTGCGACAGCCTCCAAATACTACCACACATATAGCGCCCTCGACGATGCCACTAATCCCTGGTCTCTGCGAAGCCCCAACTACAATGGCGACGACGAGTATCACGATGATGCCCACGACGACCTCGACCGGCAGCAAGACCTCGCCCTCCGCCCCGTCAAGACCATGTCCACGATCGCCGCCGACAAGCCCCGCGGACAACTCACTATTGTCGTCCTTGAGGAAACCGCAGTCCTCGCCCAGCTGGGTCTACATGTCGCCATACTCGTAACCCATGCTTGGGGCACCCACGCAAAGACTGCCGCCATCGCCAGTGTCGCCGTCTGGGCTTATGTTGCTGTTCTAGCATCGCTTCGCCTGCTCTTTTCCAGCACCAGTCGCTTCTCTTTCCCACATCTCTGGTACCACACCGCCTTCATCTATGGCTGCCAATGGGTCTTCAGCATCTTGCTTTTCCGATCGGCAATCATACACCCCCGATCCGCTGTGCATCAGAAGCTGATGATTGGCGACTTCACCCTCGTTTCGCTGCTCTTCCTTATTGCCCTCTGCTCCAGAAAGGGCAACAAAACCGTACATCTTGAATACGAAGGAGATATTGCCCCAGCGCGGGAACCCATCGCTAGCGTATTCTCCCTTGCCACTTTTAGCTGGGTCGACCCCATTGTTTGGACAGGATACAAAAAGACATATGAGCTTTCAGACGTGTGGAATTTGCCTTCAAAAGACAAGGCTGCAGTCGTCATTGCAAAATACCGCCAGGTCAAGAAGACTTCGAGCTTGGCCTACCACCTTCTGAAGCATTTCAAGCGCGGTCTGCTTATCCAAGCAGGATGGGCTGCCATCTCGGGTTTCCTTACTTTCGCGCCTACACTTCTCTTGAAAGTTATCCTCGAGTATGTTGAGCAGCCAGACCTGACTCCAGCGAATGCTGCATGGTTCTATGTTATCCTACTTTTCGTCTCTGGTTCTCTATCGGCGCTGGCCGATGGACAGGCACTCTGGCTTGGCCGCAAGATCTGCATTCGGTTACGAGCCGTCATTATTGGAGAAATTTACGCAAAAGCCCTGAAACGCAGAGCGGGAGCAACCACTGACAAGGTGCTGGGCGAGGAAAAGAAGAAGCAACAAGGGTCGGATAAGCAGGATGAGCAGCCCAAGGGATTGAAGCGCATCTTCAATTTCGGCAAGAAGAAGAAGAACAAGTCTGATGCATCCGACAACGAGGACGAAGACGAATCAAAGTCAGGATCCGATGCTCAGGTCACCACTGGTGCCATCATCAACCTCATGGCTGTAGACGCTTTCAAAGTTAGCGAGATATGCGCCTATCTGCACTTTCTATGGGCAAATACACCTGTTCAAGTCGTTGTCGCTGTCTTTTTGCTCTACCGCATCTTGGGTTACAGCTCAATCGCTGGTATTGGCATGATGATCTTCCTACTTCCAGTCAACATGTATGTCGCTGGACAGTTTGCCAAAATCCAGAAGCTCATTCTCGCTGCTACCGATGCACGAATCCACACCACCAATGAGGTTCTCACCAATATTCGAATCATCAAATTCTTCGCCTGGGAGCAGCGCTTTATCGGACTGGTCAACGAGAAACGATACATCGAGCTGAAGCACCTGCGCCGTCGCTACATACTCTGGGCTGTGGCCGCTACGATATGGTCGGGCTCCCCAGTTTTGATTACATTCTTGTCCTTCTTGGTCTATACCAACGTTGAACACAAAGCCCTGATTCCATCAGTTGCTTTCACCGCTCTCTCACTGTTCCAGATTCTCAGGATTCCTCTTGATCAACTTGCAGATATGGTTGCACACGTCCAAGAATCCAAAGTATCGGTTGACCGTATTGAGGAGTATCTGATGGAACCGGAGACAGACAAGTATTCGCAGCTTATTACTCAAAAGAAGGATCAACATGGCCAGCCTTTAATTGGATTCGAGAATGGCACTTTCAGCTGGGGCGGCACAGACATGGCAGATCAAGCTGCCGCAGATGCATTTAAGCTTATCGATCTCAACGTGAGATTCCAGCCCGGCAAACTCAATGTTGTCGTCGGTCCGACTGGTTCAGGAAAGACTTCCCTGCTCATGGGTCTGCTTGGTGAGATGACAAAGCTAAAGGGTGAAGTCTATTTGCCTGGAGGAGTCAGCCGAGAAGATCTTACCCCTGATCCTGAGACTGGCCTCACGGAAAGTGTAGCTTATTGTGCTCAGCAAGCCTGGCTAGTCAATGGCACCGTCAAAGAAAACATTGTGTTCGCAAGCGAATGGGACCAGAAGCGCTACGAGGAAGTCATTGATATCTGCTGTTTGAAGCGAGATCTTGAAATTCTTGATGGTGGTGATGAAACAATTGTTGGCGAAAAGGGTGTAACGCTCTCTGGAGGCCAGAAACAACGCATCTCACTCGCTCGTGCAATGTACAGCAAAGCCCGCCATGTTCTCCTTGACGATGTCTTAAGCGCCGTTGACGCTCATACTGCCAAATGGATCTTCCACTATGCCCTCCATGGTCGACTCATGGCAAATCGAACCTGTATTCTTGTCACCCATAACGTCAGTCTCTGCCTGCCCCATGCCGAGTTCGCAGTAGTACTTGAAAACGGCCGCATAGTTGCACAAGGCACTGCAGATGAAGTCATCAGTTCTGGAAAGCTCACCGAAGATCTCACTAAATCACGGCCTGCCTCACGTGGTGCATCGAAACCACCATCTCAGGCTCCTTCAAGTGACCAAGAGGCAAACAGCGAGGCTGACAATGCCAACACCACTCTCAACGGTAAGGCTGACACTAAGAAGGTACCAGCCAGCAACAGCCAAGAAGAGACGAAAGCTGAGGGCGGCGTGAAGCTAAGTATCATCATGATGTATCTCCGAGCTATGGGCCCGTGGTACTACTGGGTTGGTGCCACTATTGCTTTCGTTGCAGCGCAGATTTCTTCCGTCTCTACAAACCTGTGGATTCGCACCTGGGCAAACGCATACGCAAACAAGGGCTACGCTGTAAATGGCAACCACCATCGCTCATCTGTCACCCATGTTCCAACGCTGAGTGGTGTCGGAACATGCATGAACAGTGGTACTTGCAGCTGGAACTTTCCATTCTTCAGTCAGCCGGAGCAGCCCTCGTACTCGTACAACGCCATGCAGACCACATTCGAGGCCTCTGACCCAGAGGTTAACTCTCTCTATTTCCTTGGCGTCTACGCCATCTTGGGAGTTGTCTTCATGCTAATCACGTTCCTGCGTGAGGGCTTCCTTTTCGGTGGTTCACTGGCAGCATCACGACGAGTGCACGAGCGCCTTATCCAAAAAGTTACGCATGCAAAGTTCCGTTTCTTTGATCAGACTCCCCTCGGTCAACTCATGAACAGATTTTCAAAGGACATTGAGGCTATCGATCAAGAAGTGGCGCCAGTGGCTATCGGTGTCGTTCATTGCTTCGCTTCCATCATTACCATTGTCGTTCTTATCTCGGTTATTACGCCTGGATTCTTGGTTGCAGCATTCTTCATTTCCATTCTCTATTTCATGATCGGCAGGTTCTATATCAATTCCTCGCGCGACCTGAAGCGATTAGAATCCGTGCACCGAAGCCCCCTTTATCAGCAGTTCGGCGAGACACTATCAGGCATGACGACTATTCGAGCCTATGGTGACGAGCGACGCTTCATTCGCGAAAACCTCAACAAGATCAACACTCAGCATCGTCCTTTCATCTATCTGTGGGCCGCTAACAGATGGCTTGCTTTCCGAGTAGACGTGGTTGGCGCTATGGTTGCTTTCTTTTCTGGAGCCTTTGTCGTCCTTAGCGTTGGGCGCATCGATGCAGGTGCAGCTGGTTTGGCACTTACCTACGCTGTTACTTTTACCGAGAACGTGCTGTGGTTTGTGCGACTTTACTCAGCTAACGAGCAAAATATGAACTCAGTTGAGCGTGTCAAAGAATACCTTGATGTAGACCAAGAAGCTCCCTCAGTCATCCCAGCCAACCGACCGCCTTCTAACTGGCCAAGCAAGGGGTCTGTAGAGTTTATCAACTACAGCACGCGATACAGGAATGATTTTGATCTTGTGTTGAAGAATTTGACCTTCAAGATCCAACCTGGAGAGAAGGTTGGTGTTGTCGGCAGGACTGGTGCTGGAAAGAGTTCTATGGCGCTTGCATTGTTCCGAGCGTTGGAGGCTGAGCAGGGTAAGATTTTGATCGACGATATCGACATTGGGTTGATTGGCCTCCACGACTTGCGCGAGAACGTCGTCATGGTACCACAAGGTAAGCTGTCTCTTGTCTTTTTTGAATATTGCGTCTTCTAACACTATCCAGACCCAACATTGTTCACCGGCACGATTCGAAGCAATCTCGATCCTTTCTCAATTTTTACCGATGAGGAGATTTATACAGCCCTGCACGAAGTCAATCTTATATCTTCACTTTCACAACCTACATCCGGCACTTCAACGCCTGTAGAACCTACCCGCCCTAGTGCTATTCAGATCCCAGTCCCCACAACTGGCGCTGTCACTGCGGATGTGAATGCAAGCTACAGTGCTGCCACCACCAACCCTGGTTCCATCCTGGCGAACCGCGACTGGGACCGAGGCGAGACTCAGGAGGATACGGTAGTGGTAATGCCCAACGGACACGCTGCTGATCAAAAGGATGTAGCAGCACAAGCTGCTATGGAGGCCGACAACAAGAACCCATTCAGGAACCTCAACTCTCCTGTCTCAGAGTCTGGTTCCAACCTCTCCCAAGGTCAACGCCAACTCTTGTGTCTTGCGCGAGCGCTCCTCAAGGCCCCCAAGGTCCTGCTCATGGACGAAGCCACAGCCTCCATCGACTACGCCACCGACGCCAAGATCCAAGAGACTATCCGCCAGATCAAAAACACGACCATCACAATCGCGCATCGTCTTCAGACCATCATTGACTACGACAAAGTTCTTGTTCTCGATCGAGGCGAGATCCTCGAATACGGCCACCCATACGATCTCGTCCGCAAAAATGGCGGCTCTTTCCGCTCCATGTGCGAAACCAGCGGCGAACTTGAGTCGCTGACAGGCACAGCCAAGACGGCATACGAAGCCAAGTATCAAACTGCTGTTACTCAGTAAACCCTCTTTCTAAAAAGGTAAGCAAAGAAAAAGTCGGTGTGTCGTTGTGTTCTTTTTTTTCTATTCGCAAGTGTGGGAGTCAACTTAAAAGGGAACGGTGACCAAAGCAAGTAACTGGGTGGCTCTTTGCGGTTTTTTTTACTGTTTTTCTTCTACTTTTCCAAATTTGTGTCAATATGGTGGGCGTGAAAGGGTGGTGGTTTCTGTTCCCTCCTCCTTCCTGTCGGAATACAGGATTGTTTCGGGGAAATGTTACAAGCGCTATCAAGTCTTGTACGTAGAGAAGCTCAATGCAAATAAAATATATCGTTCGCATAGTCGAGTCGTCATGCGAGCTATGTTATCATGATTCTTGTTCCCAGCTAGTTTGTTTGTGAAGTCTTGATATGCAGATGCACCAGCAGAAGACTGGTGCTTCATGGGCCGTGCTGTTGCTAGAGAGAACCGCAGTAATAAACAAATGCCCAACCAAAACGCCTTGATTTTGTCCGACGCTGTCTTGTACTAAGTCAAGCGAGTGGCCATTTGATTGAGCAAAAAAAAAAGACAAAAAACAAGGGCCGAACCGGAGTCGAACCGGTGACTTCGGGAAGACGGTTTTTGGGAGAACTGCAGTCCTACACTCTACCACTGAGTTACCGGCCCGTTGTTGATGACTAATTGGATAATTATAAATAATATAGCTAACTATTTCCTAGTTTTGAGCTAATAGAATAGAAATATGTCAAGTGAGGATGTGGGTTGAGAACCGGATACATACCTCGTATACTATAAACGTGACATATTAAGAATAAGTGGATTCGGCACTAAACGTGGGGTAAAGCCAACCCAGCACTATCAAAACGTTACACTTTACATGCATCTATATCAACAATCGCATATCTGGGGTATCAACAACATGACAGGATTTCTCTCCTCAAAACTCCAACTCCTCAACCTCCATCCCACACTCCTCACACCTCTTCTTCGTCATCCCAGTTTCAGGATCTAGAACACTCCTCCCCCACTCATGCTCATGGCGATCATACCTCCCTTTAATCTTCTGTCCAAACTGCACTCCGTCGCTATCCCCCGCCAACCTCGCACGCTTATACGCCTCAACCCTCGTCCTCTTCTTGAGATCCTCTAGCTTATTCTGAAACTTCTTCTGCTTGCGCTCTTTACTGACGACTTGGCGTTTCGCGTATTCTTCGTCGAGGGCCTCAGGCGAACCCCATTTCGCGGGGCTGAAAGCGTAGGCTTCTACTTGGAGGCGGAGGAAGAGTTGCATGGGGTGGAAGAATTGTTTGTGGGGGTTTGGACGTTCAAGGTGGGGGAGGAGGTCTTCGTCTTTGAGCTCCGGGTCGGTGAGGAGGTAGTCGTCGCGGGCTTCGGTTTTGGTGAGTAACGAGTATTTGTCCGGGAACTTTTCTTTGCAGGCGTTGCAGACGGAGATGGAGAAGATATCTTGCCATTTCCAGTCGATTTCTAGGCTAGAGCATTCGCGGCATTTGCCTTTGATGTCGCGTTTGCCGTCGCCGTATTTGCCTTTGAAGGTGCCGCTTTCGATTTCGGCGTTTTCGGCGGCTTCGAGTAAGGCGGCTTCTTCGTCTTCTTCTTCTTTGCCATTGACGGTATTCAAGATGGAGATACCAGGCTCGTAGGGTCCCGCTCTATTTGCGCGTAGCTTTCGCCTTATACGCTCTCTTTCCCATTCCGTTATTGTCATTCCTTCGGGCTTCTGCTCCTCCTTCGGTTGCCCCTTCCACATGGCCTTGTTATGTGGGTCGTCCGCCGTGCTCAAGAAACCACCCTTTGTATCCGTCATCTTACTAAAGTCATACTCGATAAAGTCTGACCTAGCATATTTCTTCGCGGGCTGAATGTAGTCGTTCGATGGAGGTTGTATAAAGCCATTCTGATCGCGCTTCTGCGGTGATGCGGCGGCAGCATTTCGAACTGTGGATGGAGTCTGTGAGGCTGTAATGGACGAGTATGCGCGCTTCTCGCCTGTTTTGGGCGCCGATGATGATTGTGCTTGTTGCGCAGCAGCCTTTGCCTTCAGCCTAGCCTCTTCCATGCGTCTGATCTGCTCTAGAGTAGGAGGGTTCGGTGGAAGTTTACCCGCTGAGCGAGTCGCTCGCGGTGGCGTTGCCTGGCGTCCGGACATATTGTAACTACAAGTGTATAGAACGTAGATTTGGTGAAGTACAACTACTGTGAAGTACTCTCTCAGGTGGTAACTCCAGGAAGAAGGATCGTGCACACGCAAGTGGCGATTCGTGGTCGTGTAGTAACGTAAGATGACCGTTCCGGACCCTTGTTCCTGAACGATGATGTGCGCCAAGAGATCCGCGATCTGTTCCGTCCGATTCTCGTCCAAAGTCACTATTTCACAGATGAAAATTGTGAAAGTATTGCTCGTAAAGCATTAATGATGTCAGATTAGAGATTTAGCTGGGAAAAGGGCAGTTTGCCGCAAGGCCGTCAGCTTTGCGCCCTTACCAATCAACTCACTATGACTCCAAAATGTGGCTGTGTGCAATGCGCTTCACAGTACTGGCCATGACGAACCAGGGACCATTTGATAGTGTACCTTTTTAGTACAAAGGGTTCGCTCGCCGTGGTAGTGTAGTATTTACCACTCTCTTGCAATTTTCCCTTCTCTCCGGTGAAATGCCAGACGCGTGCACACGTGTGCACGTGGCCAGCCCTACAGCGATGCCGTTAATCCCTGCTACCGATCTGCAAGCTCAAGCCAAAAACACCGAAATTCTAGCGCAGGAAGACGGCGATAACGACAGCGATACTTGCAGCGAATTCGAGGCACAAAAGACACGCAAACAAATCCGCAGAGAAAAGAACGAACAAAAGAAGAGAAAACAGGCAATTGACCTCGCTGCCGCTATTTCCAGTCTTGACATTGTTCAGACTCAAATACCACACGCAACCAGCATCGGTCTTGACCACCTATTTCCTCCTCCACAACCGCTATCTCAAAGTCGCAAAGAAAAACGTAAAGAAAAGAAACAACGCCACGACTCCGCATTACCCACTCCCACTGACACCGACGTCGAATCCACCGCTCACCAAGACTCTCACAACCCACCAAAGCAAGCCCACCATCTCCCAACCCTCCCACAATCCCTAATGGCGAAACCCGCCGCCCAAACCGCCTACCCCCTCCTCGTCGCCTCAATCGGCAACCCAGGCCCCTCCTTCGCCAATACCCCACATTCCGCCGGTCACATTGTAACCTCGTACCTCTCGCACGCCAAAAACTACACGCCCTTCCAAAAAGGCCTCTCAGGCCTCGTATCGCGGCCGCAAGCCACACACCTCGCCTTCAGTCTCACAGGATTCCGCCGCGTCCCCAGCGACCGCGACATCTACGAAGACTGGACCTTCTGGCAATCCGCCAGTCTCATGAACGTGAGTGGCAATGGCGTCAAACGCGCGTACAACGAGTGGTTGCGCGAGATACGCCGGGCGGCTGGGGACAATGGATTGCAAGGGCGACTGGTGGTTGTGCATGATGAATTAGAATCTGCGTTGGGCAAAGTTACGATTAGGGATGGGGCAGCGAGTGCGAAAGGGCATAATGGGATTAAGAGTTGTCAGCAGCAGCTTGGTGGGGTGAAGTGGTGGAGGTTGGGGATTGGGATTGGGAGGCCCGAGAGTAGGGATCCGAATGTTGTGAGTAAATATGTGTTGGGGAAGATGTCGGCGTTTCAGAGGGATCAGGTGGAGAAGAGTGCTGTGTCGGTTTTTAAGGCGTTGGAGGATATTGCGGCGGGGAAGAAGTAGATGCTGCTGCTGCAGTGTGCATAGGACGGTGTTTGTTGGCATTTTCTTTTCTGAGGCGTTTGGGGCATGATACCCAGTTAGATGTTAGACGAGCGTATCGCAATGTATGCATGGAACATGGAATGAATGAATGTAAGATGGATTTTTTAAGCGAAAAGCATGCAAAGGTATCGTGTAGTCTCCAAATAAAATACCCCTGGTGTAAAAGGTGACTCCAATTAACAAAGTGCTTGCCGCCAAAACACAACAGAAAGACAGGCGAAAGCATAATCAGACGTGCGTCGCCAACTCCAACTCCACAATTAAAGGTATGTATCAACACTTCGTAGCAGCTTGCTTTCTCAGTTTCCTCCTCTCCTCTAACCTCTTCCTCGGATCCCGATCACGGACTTGGTTTCGGTCGTTCTTGACATTTGTGGATCCTTCTGCATGACGTGTCGTAACCTTGCTATCGTCGATTTTGGGATCGGTACGGGGTTGGCGAGAACTGCTGTCAGTACTCCTCAACGCCCCATCTTTTGATGTGTTGTAGTTGTGTTTGGCTTCCTTTTTGGGCTGTGATGACGTTGCTTCGAGCTCTGAAATATGGGTAGCCTCTTGGGTCGCACCATCTCTTCGCCTTTGGGGTTCCGCTGTTTGCTCACTCCTCTCTGACACGACGGCCTTTTCTTGAGATTGTAGTGCTTCTGGTTTCCTGTCATTTGAAACCAATTTCGATACTCGGTTTTTCTTTGGTGGGGGATTCCATTCGGGCCTTGTGTACGGTTGGCCTGTAGAAATAGGCATGGCCATCTTGTCCATTTGCCCTATTGAGCTGTCGTTGTGCACATCTAGCCAAAGGTCGTCGCTGGGCGGTGATGGCATCGGTAGTGGGCTGGATGGTTGGATCGCGGCCATCGATTTGGGCGTATGGCTCTCTTTCGTCGGCTCAGATCTATGAATCTTCAGAGGTGACTTTGGTGGTTTCTCCTGTTGGGTGGATGTAAGCGCTTTTTCCAGAGTAACTTCAAAACGGCGGGGCGACTTTTCTAGTGCGGAGGTTTCTCCTTCTGCAGTACCGAATCTAGAAGGGACGATTGATCGATTCAATGTATCAGGAATAGTACCGCGGCGGACACGACGAGACATCGGCGATGTGTTCTCCTTGGTAGAGGATGCCATGTTGTTGGATGGGGCGAACGAGTTATCCAGGTCTAATCCGCGCAAAGGAGGTCGTGAAACGTCTTTGGCTCCATCTTCGTAGATTTCAAACGGCGTCTTGCTCGGTGCGAACCCTGACGAAGGTGCAGTGCTCGAGCCTTCCAGGACCACCAATCGCGACTTGAGGGACGCAATCTCGATGCTTGATGACATATTTTCCGACATGGCCTTGCGAAGGCGCTCCTGGAGGTCCTTGTTCTGCTGCTCCAGTTCCATCTCACGCTGTTTGTACCGCTTGCGCTCCTGTTCCAGTTTGGCCACTAGTTCGGTTACTTCACCATCTTTCTTCATGGCGAACTTTTTTGCAAGTTGCTGCTTGGCAATGACCTTCTTCATCTCCTTCTCGCTCTTGTCCGCATAGCTCTCGTACTGCTCCTTCCAGTATTTTCCCGACTCCGAGCGCGGGGCTCCTAGATCGATTGTGATATCGCTGTCGTCTCGCGCTTTGGGCTTTTGGCCCGATTTTGGCTGGGTGGTTGTGCGTGCGTCCAGTAGGGCTTCGGTGAGGCGAGTGCGCGGCCGCGTTTCGCTGTCAGGGTCGAGCTTCAACTGCGTACCAGGAGTCCAAGGGCTCGGAAACTTGCCTGGGCAGTCGTTGGGTATTCCGCTCCTGCCAATGTTGCCGCGCTTGCCCTCGTTGTCCACCACTTGCGAGCCAAATGACACTTGCTTGCGCCCCTTGCTGGCGGTGCCTGGTGTCATAAGGATGCCGCCCGGCTGTTTCGATGGCGATATGGGCGGGCCGTTCTCCTTAGGCGCTGAAAGCACGAATGCTTTGGCGTTTGCTGCGTCTATCTTTGCCTTTCTTTCTATTTTCTTTGATACATCGTCGGCGTCCTCGGGTGCGGGGGTCCCGAATATGGCGTGCTTGAAGGCCTTGACAGCAAATTGATGGGCTGGTGTCTCTGGTGGCTCAATGAAGGTGGACTCGTAGTTGTTTTCTTTTATTGTTAGCAGATCTCGGCTGGCGCGCACGACAATGTGACGAACCAGGCTGCAGGTCCTCTATCACGTTAGTAATACGTGGACCAGTAATCCACGAAAACATGGTGACGTGACTGTTTGAGTGCGGTGTCGGGGCTAGGGTATGGAGGAGAAGGTGAGGAGCAGTAGTGGTGATGGTGAGGGTGGTGGTCCTGGCTGCAAACAAGGATGGGGTTTGTTTGGCGGCTTGTTTACTCGCTGAAAACAAGAGCTTTGGGGGCTACCATTCAGGATGCCCAACGCAATACAAGTCGCACCTGAAGGGAACAGGTATCAACACATTCGGAGACCCTATGCGACCACCTCGAGACTCATTCTTGTGAAAATCCAAGTTGCGATGCTGTTGGTTGGGGCTCCTGCAGTGGTCGAGGCACGGGGAAGTCGCGTCTGGCGGCTGAAGGTGTGCCTGCAGGGATGACGCGGAACGGTCCCAGGATGGCGGGGCTCGCCAACATATCGCCCCCACCGACCGCTACTTCATACCTGCGCATGCGCTGGCCGCAAACTTTCTACATTCCGTCATACCCCATCCCCTTTCGCTGCCATATTAACCACTCGAAATGTCTGCAATGTGAAGGGCAGCAGCCATGGCTGCTAGTCTGTCCGTATCCGTCAATACCACATGTATGACGGCCCATTCAATCATCCACCAGTAGCCCACTATGGCACCGCCTCAAACACCGAAGAACAAGAAACAAGCACACCATGCATCCACACCCCAGTTCACCGATGACACGCGGTCGGCGGGTCCCGTTGGGGACATGCCACGTCCGCTCACCTTGCAGCCCTCCGAGACCTATGAAAAGGCTCAGGAGGATGAGCGCGAAGTCCTAAAGGCTGTTTTTATGGACGACTATGAAGAATCAGAAGCCAAGGGTGCATGGAGTGTACGTACCCAACCCCCCATTTAAGGACCATGCCACTCGGCCCCTTGTCGGTTCATCCTCTAACTTCAAGACAGAAAACTACTGATCGCGTATTGCGCGTGAAACTCACATCCATTTCAGATGAAAACATATTCGTTACACTCTGTGCAAAGATTACAGCTACTTACCCTAGATCGCTACCCGAATTGACTTTGGAAGATTGCAGCAGCTTGCGAAAATCCACTTGGGATAAGCTCTATGGCCTACTGAAACGCCGGCCCCAGGAGCTGGTCGGAGAAGTCATGATGTACGACATAGCGACCGCCATCCAAGAGATACTTGAGGATGAGATTACAGTCCGCCAAACCGATGGAGCTTACGAAAATCTGGATGCTGAACGAGCCATGCAAGAAGCGGCTGCAGCCGAGCAGTTGCGACAGCATGAGGCTGAGCAACAGAGGAAGAGGGACGAGGAGAAAGCGCAGGAGGAACGGCTTCTGCAGCAAATGGTTGGTGATGAAATGCGAAGGAAGGATCTGATGGCGAAGCGCAAGAAGAACCGCGCCTCAGTTATGACCCCACCACCAGACTTTCCCAATGGAGACGGCGTCAACTACATTTCGTTTGACAGAACCACTTCCATCCAGCACGAGGATACTACGATTCAGTGCACCGCAGTTGAGAATCCGCTCCCTTTCCGTTCTGGGCCCCTTACCGAACAACTATTGGTCAAGCCCATGGGTACGCCCGTCGCACTCACGCTAGTATTGAAGCGTGCTAGAGTCGGTGGTGGAAACGCTGCTGCTGACCCTGGGCTGAAGAAGGCTATTATGGCATTTGAAGACGAGATGGAGGAGATCAAGCGGTTGCGACAATCTGCCATAATGACAGTGCTGGACTTTAAGGTGGAGAACATGCCAGACGGTGGGTGGGAAATCAGCATCCTGATGGAACACGCCGACAGAGGTTCTCTGGGCGAGAGACTCGCTGATGATGGGCCGCTCCAAGTCGCAAGAGTTCGTTCCTGGACTATCGAGATATTGGAAGCACTGGACTTTTACCATCGAAACGGCGTAGTGCACAAACGCCTTCACCCCAACAACATCCTCCTCAAGAGGTCTTCAGGTGGGGGGATGAGCGTACACCTGACAGATGCCAGCTTTCAAGACTCTTTGTATCGTTTACAAAGCTTCTCCAAGGACAGACGGACGACAAAGCCCCCACGGACATTCTACTGGATAGCTCCCGAGTTGTCCCAGGATTTGCAGCACACTCGCAAGACAGATGTATGGGACATGGGAGTTGTGTTCCTCCAGATGCTATTTGGCCTCGACGTGCCAGAGAAATACAATTCTCCAAAGGACCTGTCCGATATCCTTGGTTGTTCCGAGTCATTGCAGGAGATACTACGCAAATTCTTCAAGCCGGATCCCAAGAAGCGACACTCTGCTTTTGACCTCATCCCCTCTGAGTTTCTTCGCGACGACGTCGATGTCTATGACCGACCACGCACTCCAGTACGATCTAGAAATTCTTCAACCTCACTGGGTCGATACAGGTTACGGCGTGAATCTTCCTCCGGCATGGTTCCAACATACTCGCGATATTCGAATGACTGGGTCGAGCAAGGTCGGCTCGGGAAAGGTGGATATGGCGAGGTTGTGAAGGCACGCAACAAGGTTGATGGCCGCACTTACGCCATCAAGAAGATCAAGCAAAAGTCTGCTGCTGCATTAAGCGAGGTTCTCTCCGAGGTCATGCTTCTATCTCGGCTTAATCACAGTTGCGTAGTGCGTTATTACACAGCATGGCCTGAAGCCGAAGCGGACTACGATGACGACTACTCTGGATCATCAGATGGCGACGATTCTGATTGGGGTTCAGAGGTTTCCCCGACTACAACTACAACTACAACTGACGGCGGGATTCATGGAAAGAGCGGCGGCGGGTTAGATTTCATCAGCTCTAGCGGGTATCCCAAGATTGAATTTGGATCTGATGCAGAGTCGGATGAAGATGTCGGTGCTGTCATCTTCGGATCAGACTCAGGTCAGTAAAAGATTTCTAGCACTTTCTCCCCAGTACTGTACTAACTCACCACAGAGGACGAGGGTTCCGCTAGCATCGGCCACAGTCCACCGGGAATCAAGAGACGCACACTATCCGACTCCAACCTTTCAAAATCAAGATCAATTCTGTACATCCAGATGGAATTCTGTGAGAAGCGGACGCTTCGTGATCTCATTCGTGGAGGATTATACGACGACCCAGAAGAGTACTGGAGACTGTTTAGGCAGATTCTCGAAGGCCTCGCTCACATACACGGACATGGCATCATCCATAGAGATCTCAAACCGGACAATGTCTTTATTGACCTGGCTAAAATCCCCAAAATCGGCGATTTTGGACTGGCCACCAGCGGACAATACCAGAGGCCGGACGCAAAATCCTCCGGCGATAGCCATAATGGCGGTGACATGACACGAAGTGTGGGCACAGCGCTTTATGTAGCCCCAGAGCTAAGCTCTAGTGTCACTGGAGACTACAACAACAAGGTGGACATGTACTCCATGGGCATCATCTTCTTTGAGATGTGCTTTCCTCTGAGGACGGCTATGGAGAGGGACAAGGTCATTCGGTCATTACGCGAGCGAAAACATGAACTTCCCCCAGAGTTCGACGCTCCTGAGAAAGCGCTCCAAGGAAGCATCATCAAGTCCCTTATCAGCCACCGACCGTCAGAAAGACCCAGCTGTACTGAGCTCTTGAGGAGTGGTAAAGTACCTGCTCAGATGGAAGATGAGGCTGTTAAGGAAGCCATCAAGGCTCTTTCCGATCGCAACTCGCCTCACTATGCAAAGATGATGGCTGCCCTCTTCTCGCACAAGCCTGACACACAAGCAAGAGATTATGCCTGGGACCTCGGCACAGCTAATCAGACAATTAAGGCGAATGAGGTGCTTCTACAGAATCTCGTCAAGGACAGATTAGCTATGATCTTCCGGGGCCATGGCGCGGTGGAGATCCAGCGCCAAGTTCTATTGCCATGGTCTGATCACTATGCGAACAGCAGTGTCGTGAAGCTCTTCGATCCTTCTGGGACCCTTGTTCAGCTTCCTTACGATCTCACATTACCGTATGCTCGTAGCATCGGTCGAGGAGGTGGATTCCTGGAGAAGACATTTACAATCGGTCAGGTTTACCGTGAAAACTACACTGGAAGTGCTCCGCGTAGTAACGGTGAGGCAGACTTTGACATTGTCTCATATGATGCGATTGATCTTGCTCTCAAGGAATCAGAGGTTCTGAAGGTTGTCGATGAAATCATCGACGAGTTTCCTTCGTTCCGATCGACACAAATGTGTTTTCACCTTAATCATGCTGATCTCCTGGAAATTGTCATGGAGTTCTGCAGAATTCCTGCTCCCAAGCGTACGGCAGTCAAGGCAGTTCTCAGCAAGCTTAACATATTGAAGAACAACTGGCACTCTATCCGTAATGAGTTGCGTTCTTCCGACATCGGTATTGCATCAACGTCGCTGGACGACCTGGCAAGATTTGATTGGCGCGACACACCAGAAAAAGCCTTTGCGAAATTGCAGCGACTTTTCGAGGGAACAAAATACCTCGAACGAACACATTCGATATTCCGACATCTTTCCTCAGTAATCAATTACATGAAGCACTGGAATGTGAAGCGGAAGGTCTACATCAATGTCCTCAGTAGCTTCAATGAGAGGTTTTATGCTGGAGGCATACTATTCCAGTGCCTATTCGATACCAAACAGCGAGAAGTGCTTGCTGCAGGCGGAAGATATGACAAGTTGATTGAAGAATATCGGCCCACTGGTTCTAGTCACGCGCACCCGCTACCTGCATATCACGCAGTCGGCGTAAACCTAGGATGGGACAGATTGGTCAACTCTATGGCTCGATACATCAAGAAGCCAGAAAAGTCAATGTTTTTGAAAAAGCAGGCCGATGACGATACTCCGTCTCTCTCATGGATGCCTCGCCGCTGCGATTGCCTGGTCGCCAGTTTTGATCCAAGCATCCTTCGAACTACTGGAATCAAAATGGTATCAGAGCTCATATCTCACGGCTATACGGCCGAGCTCGCCATCGATGCGCATTCTATCGAGGATATACTCCGCCACTATCGGGACGACAGACACAGCTGGATTATTGTGATCAAGCACGGCGTCACGCCAGATAAACCGGAGCTCAAGGTGAAATCCATTGCCAAAAAGGAAGATACAGACATGCACAGTTCCAATCTCCTCAACTACCTGCGCAACGAACTCCGAGACCGAGAAGAACGCGAAGGCACAGCAGCTCGTCAAATCAAAGTTCCAGCACCAGCTCCCAACAACAAGTCCAACACTACGAAGGCCAACGTCGACGTTCTCATCGCCCAACACCGTTCAAAGAAGTCGAATAAGTGGTCCATTGTCGAAGCTGCGCAGTCCCGCTCCACAGAACTCCTTTCTGAATTCCAATCAGCGCCCATTGCAGCCATTGAATCAAAGGAAGAGGCCATGAATCTCATCAAGGAAACGCGGCTCAGCGATCCGGATTCTTGGCGCTACTTCATTCAGAGAATGCCGCTGGCAGAACGAAAATATCTCCAGGAATTACATGATCTATTGTTAGGGTATAGGGCCAAGTGGTTAGAAGGCAAAGCGAACGGAGATGGAGAAGATGCAGTAAGTAAAGCGTTTGTGTATAATTTTCGCACTGGCGGATGTTTGTTATATGATTTGGAAAGTTAAGCGAGAGAACCACGATAGATTATCAAGCGTGGTAAAATTTAATAGATACATTCTCATTTTATTTTATTTTTTGATAATCCGGTGCCTGTTCTCAAGTCATTTGCGAATATGTGGGAACTGATTCACCAACGCTTCTATAACACCTAGAAAAACAACTACTAAACAACTTCACCAAGATATAATCCACGACCCCTAGAAAAAATGCACACCCCCTTTCACCTCTTTCACCCCTTCCTCTCTCCCCACCCCCAGCTCTTTCAATCCCCTTTTCAATCTCGCCCCCATCGCCTTCCCATACGCCTCTGTATCATTCATATCTGGCATCTCTACCTTACCCGTTATATCCGTACGTAGCCACGCGACTTCCTTCTCCCCTTGTGCTGCATCGCACGCCTCTTTTATCTCTGCGAACATGGCGTCGTCGAAGCCGCCGCCGAGCACGACTGCTACGGGCCGATCGGGGCTAGAGGAGGAGAGAATGGGGGGTATGTTTGTTTTTGCTTCTTCGAGGGAGAGGAAGGTGTGGAGGACTGTGTGGGTTAGGGGGTTGAGTTTATTTTGAAGTGTGTATGCATGTGGTGGGTATGAGTGTTGCGGTTTGAGAGCTGGGCGTAGTAGTAGTTGGTATTGCTTTTTCTAGCTCTGTTGTTTGATGAGGGAGGGAGAGGAAAGAAAGGAGCGACCCACCGTGGTATTCTGGTGCCATGCCTTCGCGTACTGCTTTTGCGATGTTGGGGTTTCGGCCGCAGAGGATGAAGGGAATGGGTGGTGTTGCCATGGTTCTCTTGTTTCGTTGTGGATCTTGGAGGTGTGAGGGGTACGTTAAATGGTATGGCGGGGGCTCAGCGAGGTAGGAACGCGGGGTATGGTTGTACTTAGTATCAGGATAAGAGATACAATGCTCAGCTTACGGTGTGACATGGTGGTAGGCTTGGGCTATGCAGGTGTATGCTGTAATGCGTGTAAAGTCCGTCACTAGTAGTGGTTAGCTCCGAGTTGAGTTGTTGGGAGGGTTCAAGGTTGGGCGGGCGTGAGATGTGGCTTGTTTGATAAACAGTTGTGCTCGAGGATGCATGGCATCTACTTCTCAGCTTGTTTTGGGGGTCTAATCGCTGCTTTCACGATTCAGGTGGCACATGTTTGCCCTGGATGGTTATGAGGCTGTATTTCAAATAATTACATGACTAAAGTGCAACATGCAGTGAAAATCTGTAGAACTATCCCAAAACCTATCAAGACAGCAAATCACTTCTAAGCCCATAGGTAGTACCTACCATTTCAAGGAGACTTTGATTTATCGACTTCGTAGAAGTTGGTCTTCAATTGCGAACTGTTGATAACCTTGAAACCCCCTGGATAATGACCGTCTTCTTGTTTTCCGGAGATTTCTATTTCGCTTTGAAGGGCACTCTGATGGTGTATTTGGTCACAGTCACAGTGACCTTATAAGTCTTGTGCCCGGGGACGTTCAAGGGAACAGAGGTTTTCCAGGTCTGAGCATGACTGTTCGTAATGCCCCACAGCATGTTTGTATGGATCTTCGCACTGATCTCCACCTCAGCCTTTGCGACGACAGAGACTCAGAACTGAACTTGATCGAAATGCCAAGTTCGAGCCCAACTTCAGAATCAAAGGTGTACTGTTGTTCTGTAGTCTCCAGAATTTTGATCAAGGGTGTTGGTGGTTCCGAAGTGCGATTTGTCGCTTCTTGTGAGTAAATACTCACGAATCGGACACATTCCGTGACAGTATTCTTGAGGTCAAATTCAATGTTGATGAGTTCTAATGTTTCCACTTCAAAGGTGAACCATTGGTCATTGAAGGTTTCAATGGCATCTGAGACATACCCAGTCTCGAGTTCTTGAATTGTTCGTGAGAAAAGAACTCCGTCGTTGGTGGGATTGTAGATGCGGAACTGACCTGCTCGAACATCTTTGCTTTGTTGCTGTGACAAGTCAAAATACTGGAAAACCGAGCAGCCTGCAGGCGCAGAAGTTCCAGCACGGCCCCACTGGAGATCTTTATCACAATCGACATAAATGCCGCGATCGTTGTAGTCAGATACAAGTAAGTATAGACCTCCATTTTCATCTTGACCCAGCCTAATATACCAGTACTGGCCACGATAAGGAATCGAAATGTCAATATGGTTGAGTCCTAGTTTATCTTGCGCGTTTGAGTAGAGTGCAGGTTTGCTTTCGGTGTTGATGATAAATTGTACACCAGTTGTATGATGCATTCCATAGTTCATAAAGTGATGAAGAATTCTAATCTTCCTTCCTGTATTCAATGATCCAGTTATTGTGTCATTGAAATAAACATGCATCATAATCCAGATGAAAATGAAAGTTCATTCAAGTCCGAATACAATATGCGTTTTCCTACTCAACCACACTACTCTCCATCTCAGAGTTTAGAGGAAATAATAATATTAAACTCCATTCCATGCAACTATCCCGACTCGTTCTCCTCGTTCTCTTCCTCAGCGTATTAAAACCAATTTTCGTAAAGGGGTATATCGCTTTCCCGCATTAAATCCAACTTCAATCCTCAAAAAAATCAAAACTTTTCCGATTCCCTTCTCTTTCCTCCTCTCTCCCTCCCCTGCAAATTCAAAGAAATCTTCCGGTCCTAATTCCTCACACCACCGGGAGCCCCACACCCATAACTCGCCATGTACGCAGCATTAACACTGCGATGGTGCTCACTAGCATGCCTCTTGACGCCCTCCCACATCTTCTTGATGCCCAGGTTGATCTTGTGCTGTGTCTTTTCCTCGTTTTCGCGCTGTTGCTGTAGAGCGACGAAGTGATGGACATCATGGGCTGAGTCGTGCGAGGCGCGGCGGGAGTGGGCTGCTGGGGTTGCGGGGATGGAGGAGGAGGGGGTGGAGTTTGTGGAGCTCATTTTGTTTGTGAAATATGTGGAGTTTGAGTAGGTTTGGTTGGTGAGGTTTCTTTTCCCCAATAACCTTTTCGATAGGTAATTGTAGTTTGAAGTAGTAGATATAGTGATAAGATGTAGACTTGATACTGATGAATTTGTCGATGCTATTCTATGCTCGACCCTCTCTCCACGCTCTTTATATAACCCCGGAATTCCATAGAGACAAAACAAGGACAGAAAAATTTCTCTCACAATCCACACACACCAACCCCCCCAGATCGTGAGACCACCACACGTGCACCACCCCCAAATTTTTCTCTCACTCCCAACGCCTTGTAGAAAGGTGGGTCGATTACAACCCCCAAGGAAAAAAGTCGCCTAGAGCCACAAGCGCATATTCCAGAACCAAACGTCAAAAAGCACACCGCAAGACGTCACAATTGAGCCTCTTCACCCCCAAGATGCCCTGACTAACGCCCCTTCCGGCATCCATTATACCCCAAAAAGTCAAACCAACACTGCACACTCTCCTATACCAGTCTAGCTCCCGCCGCGAAACTGGCAATGTAGTAAGAAACAAGATCATTCGGCTTGCATCGGCTCAGCCTCATCCGAACTTTTTATATTACCGCAAAAGGTACCCACCATGCAAACATGGTAGGAGCTGGGTTTGACACACGAGTTACCTCTAACGGGCATTTCGTGTGTCATAGTCTGCAGAAATCTCGTGGTTGAATTGACCTGTTTTGCCATGTTGTGGCTATTTTTTTTGCCGTTCAGCATGCAACGCCCAATGGAGGCTCAACAGAATTCGCCGGTTTTGCCACGTGTGAGATGGAAAGTAATGGCGACATGAACACGTGGGATGGTGAGAGGAGTGGAGTGGAAGGCATGAGAGTGTCGGTGTGCCATGGGGGTGAAACAATGCTTGGACAGGCAAAAATACATCAGCTGAGTATAGAGGAAAAGTCTATTGTGATATTGTCTCTGTTATGAAATTATGACGATAAATCGCACCATCAGATGTTCAAAATATGCTTGCCATGACGCCGTTCTATGCAAATTAATGCGGAAATAGATGCTAGGGGACCTTCATCAATTAGTGCTGTGCAGCAAACGACCTACTCTCCTTGCTTCTTCCACTTCCGCTGCCGCTGCCGCTTCCATATGTCACACTACTATCGTCGTCGGAGTCAAGACCTTCCAACTCGAACTCGTCTGCACCTACTGTCCTGCGATCCACTCTGCTGTAGCCGTTGCCATTGCCGAGTCCGTTTAGATGAGGCGCCTCGGCATCAGCTTTGTCGTCCTGTTCCCAGGAATAGACCGCGTACAAGTGAATGAGCATATTGACGACTGATCCCATATTAGTCGAAGAAAACACGGAAAGAACATGGAATACTTACAGAGGAACAGGAGGAAAGCAATGCTGAACAGAATCAGCACATACGACACATGGGTGACATTGGCATCAGAAAGAAGCTGCATCTGCTCTTCTGTAGCTCCCATGAACATGAATCCGCCTGCCATAAGCAAAAACGGCGTCATGTATTGGAAACTGTTGGGGTCTGAGCCATCAGAAGCGATGGATGTCCTGTCCTTGAGTACAAACGAAATCTCAATGATACGCGCAGCACCCGCAGCCATTAGAGTGTATCCAAAGACGGTATGAATCATGGTCGAAAGAGGGAGATGCTGGGGGTGCGCCGACATGGCCCATCCAGTCATGAGAATGACGATACCCGGGATCAAGTTGCGCTTGGGTTGTCCGTTTCGCTTTCGGCTGAGCCAGATACCGACCAGACCGGCTGCCCACCACACAACGCCCATGGATGTATGTTGAAGGTCGTTGTGAACCCACGGGTGTCCCCATCGGTGCTCGGTAAAGGTGTTGACACAGCCCCAGGCGGCAATGACGATCGAATCAAAGAATTCCTGGCTCCTGCCTGTCCTCCGCAGCCACATCTGTCCAACCAAAAGCAATATCAAGAGGATGATGCCGTATGCGATGAAGGCGCTACCCATGATGAAGTGAGCCAGGCACTGTCCGGTATGATCGGCCCTGCAGAAACCTAGAGCTGTGATGCCTCCGAAAACGAATTGGACCCATGTTATGACCGGCAGAGCCTTGCCGACCACTCCGTGCACCTTTACTACAACGCTGCGAATCTTTCCATTGATGCCTTTCTCGAGATGAAGTTTTAGGTACACGCCCATTGCGATCTGGGAAATCAACATGAGCATGATGACGGGAACAAATCTAGCGTGGATGTTGTCAGGGGAGAACTGTCTGCCGCCATGGTGGTGAGCTAGGAAGTATCCGATGATTGCGAGGATAGAGCCGAGTGTTTGTACGGGAACGTGCCATTTGGATCGTATTATCTGGTAGAGATGTTAGTTTGATCTTGCTGTGTGTATGCGGATGTCGGCTATCATACGCCCAAGACCATTCCCGTGGGGAAGATGATGCCCCACGCGAGCGACTGTACCAAGATGTGTGTCCATAACACCGAATCCTGCCAAAGGTTAGCTGGTACCCACAGTACACCGTTCCTTAATAGCGCGTACAATCGGATCCTGGGAGACGGCATCTCCTTGCTGTATTTTGCTGACTTCGTGGACGTGTGCGGTGGCCATGGTGCTGCAGAGGAGCGTGGCAACAGCCACTCTTGTTGTGATAAGGCCCATGTCGTCTATGGCGCTTCAGATGGCAATTCGGGTGGCGCGACTGTGGGTTATGGGGATCGATTGCAAGACGCGGAGAGTTTCAAGGCCACATCAGGCGCGTATCAAGGCAGGAGTTGGGAGGCGGAGATGACCCTGGGCCGCGATTGTTCTCGTGTTGATGCAATGCGTCGTCGTAATTTCCAGTTCACGTGAACCTGCGGGCCCCTTGATTGGCTTCCGCCGTGCTCCGTCCGTCAACCACAACAACTGCAACCAACGTACGCTTCTACGCCCCTCTACAACTTTAACATCAGCCAACATGGCTCTCGACAAGAGCATCACAGAGATTGCTGACTCGGACGAGGAGCTTGTCATGTCTTCGCCTCGGGTTGGTCCATCTGATGTGGCGGATAAGCTTCACGCCATGGCCTCTGCTGCGCGTCAGGAGCCCCTTCAGGACGCGTACTGCACTTACCAAGCCCTCACACAAGACGACGCCAACCCGGCTCCACTGAGCACCGTTGGTTTGGATCTCGGTCGCAACGGCGCTTCAGTCGATACCGACGCATTTGGTACTGGCCACACTGACGTGAAGCCCCAAGACGCAATGCTTCCCCAAGGGGAAGGAGCAGCATTTCAAATGAGTCCTCATGAACGAGCCGCCCGCGCGCATATGGACCCGCTGGGTTTTGCACACGGAACCATTCATGCGTCAGTTGCGAACAGAAGCACGGTGCAACCGGAGTCACTAGCAGGGGAATCGCGGTCCATCAGTGCTGCACCAACTCCAGACAGCGCCTCTCCGCCAAAAGATGCTTGCCCTCAGTCTGCTCGAGACATCCCCAGTACATGCCAATCGCAAGCTCCCCATGGACAAACGGTTGTGATAAAAGATGACGTCATACGTGACAATTCATCACAGCCCAGATCGAAAGACGCGGACCAAAATGCAATCCACAGTGCAGACATGATTTATCCAAGCGAGAGCGCAGTTTGTTCTTAACCCGCTCGTCCTCCCGTGTCCTTGCTCACACAATCTAGGTGCACAGATCTCAAGCCATGGGCACATTTGACACGACAAGGATGTCTGCAGCAACAACCAGCTCCTCAAATCCGACTACCCTAGGCATCACAGCATCAGCCTTATCCGCGCCCAAGGACATTGGCGACACTGATCTACATCCCGATCTTAGTGAAATCCAAGGTGGAAAACCACAAAGAAATACCAGTGATTGCAGGCCAAGCATTCCTTATCAGGGGTCAATAGTCAGCGCACAGGAGTCCATTCCCTTCACACTGCAAACTCATCCCTTCCAAGAAAAGCTTCAAGCCCCAAGCTCGGTACTGCAACAGGCATCACAGCCGAAGGACCCTGAAAGTCATGATCTCAATGCGAGTGGTGCACCCTGCAACTCCACTTGCGAGTCTCAAGACCAACCTACTATGGGAGCTTCGCCGACAGCCGCCATGCGGAGGAGCCCGTCAAGAATTCCTCAGGAAACCATTTTATCGGAGCTGAAAGCCCACAAAGCTGCCCTGTTAACTTCTCTGCGTAGTCTCCTGGCGATTCAGGTTCTTGTGGAAGAAATGGCGTCTTCTGACGGTGGCGCAGATGGACGGTACGACGAGCCTACTGACACGGACATTATGACCGCAGCGAACAAAGTCGTCAAAGAGCACATCAAGCTACTGCATGAGTACAATGAACTGAAAGATGTGGGCCAGGGTCTTATGGGGCTAATCGCCGACCAGCGGGGCGTCAGAATTGTCGAGGTTCAGGAAGAGTTTGGCATTGATGCAGAAGACTGATTGGCCATCAGGTCTTGAGCACTTTTCCATGGCCAGGAATGGATGAGTCTGCATTGACTCGTGACTGTGGTGGAAAAGAGGGGCCACCGGACACATCCCTCCGGACCCTTCTTGACTTGTATTCCGTTAACTCTCCGCGTTGGGTCAATCATCTCAGCTCTTTTTGCTCAGTGGCATTGCGAGTCTACTGACTCATTTCGTCGGGTAGGTCTACTTTGTCGGATAGGTCCACTTCCGCTCGACCATACGCCCATCCTATCAAGCGCTGCTTACATAGTATTCTGCCGAGAAAGTAGTGTTGTCTTGGCCCACACTCCTGTTCGTGATCTACAAACATCTTTGGAGAAGGCAAAAATGAAACATAGGCTACTCGCACTCTAGCGTGTATGTAGCTTATTTTGCATGAAAAATGGGCAACTCTAGCGGACCTTAAAGCACGCGACAGTCGGTCCGCGGAAAACCTACCAACTACATGGTGCCATTTCGTGCAGCCAGACTGGCGGGTACCGAAAATCCACCGATGGGGCTGAACGCCATCCGGGGGATCTTCGGCTCCACGTTACACAATGTCTCGTCTAGTAAGTATACATGTACTACATACGCATCTCCTCTTGAACAAGGATGAATGCATATTCTTGTAAATGAAGAATTCGACTGCAGAACCCTGGTGACAAATGCCGCATCTGTAATTTTATTAGTGTGCTGGCAAGCTCGGACAAGATCGGCCAGTGGCCAAGCTTAAGGCTACTTATAGGGACTTACTCAACCAAGAATGCTAACACCACCTCCTGCGGGGCTTCTTCGGCCATTTCGATGTTCGTAGTCAGGGGCCGCGATGGCGATTACGGCTGGCTCCGATGACGCTAGAGGCGAGGAAGCGGTTCTTCGAGACTGTATCAATTGGTTGCTGTGATTGGGAGACAACTCTAGATTCTTGGCAGCTGTTGAATCTTGACACAGGACGGTTGCGGCTGTAGCACTATTGCTATGACAGCAGCCACCACGCAAAAGCAACAAAAGTGACAGCAAACTCATTGAGAGCAACGGTAAAGCCACCCTGAGCAGGGCCATGCGAGCTTTTGCTCCACTAAAGCGGAATTGCGGGACCATGTCCCTTGCATGATCACGTCAATCATGATCGACAGACCCACATCAGATGACCAGGGGATATCTCAAGTAGTATGGATGTTCCAAGCGTTCGGAAGTATTCTCACGGTATACAAACATACTTACATATCTACCGCGCCTGGCCCCTCTGTCGGCTTGAGTAACAGAGTTTTGCATTGCGTTCTTGACATCTGCTAAAGAATGTAGTGCCGGCAGTCTCGAGAGTGGCGCGGCTCGCTGTCTACTTCGGGGCAGTTGTACCGTGCAACGCTACCCGCGTCTCTACTCCACAACAGTCTCCGTGATTTTAGTGAGTGGCGTCTACAGATGATGATTGGCGAAATGAAAGACCAAGAGGTGAGCTAGCCCGTTCGCTTGCAGTTCAGCTCCACGCTACAAGCCGTCCTGCCTAGAACCACCCTTGGCTGGTCAGTTCGCCATTCGAGATCTCGCCCGGCACCTGTGCACCTGCCGATGTAGTAACATCTCCTTGCAAGGGTTTATAATGATATATGTATTGTCGTTGCAGAGGCCCCGCACTTTTGCCCGGTAGGATCTTAATTCACCGAGTCTTCTTCTTCCCCGGAATCGACTCAGACTCGACCCAGAGTCGTGGAGCAGAATGGCATCTGTTCAGGATTTCCAGCTTGCAGCCCTTGCTGCTGGCTTCACACTTGGCTTCGGCTTCCTGACAGTATGGGAGGCAATCAAGCAGACGCGACGGAATCACAGCCCGTTACGCTCTGCCTACATTTACATGGTATGGGGTGAGATTCTGGTCAACGTCTGTATTGGAATCGTTGGATGGCTCTTTCTCAATGACGCAATTGGGCCGACGTGAGTAATTCCTTTCTTCAGCATTGCTACAAGGGACACCTGCTAACACGCAATTTCACAGTGTACCAGTCTTGTTCTCCATCCTGTTCTTCTGGGTGTTTGAGATTCAACTGCTCATGCAAATCATCATCAATCGAATCGCACTCATCGCCGAGCACCGCAGTACGATTAAGAAACTCAAATGGGGTACCTTCATCTTCATCACTGCCATCAACATTGCCGTCTTCTGCATCTGGATCCCTTCACACACGAACCCCCCTCTCAACGACACCTTCGTCAAGATCAACAATATATGGGACAAGATCTCCAAAGTTCTTATCCTCATTGTCGACGCAGCACTGAACTGGTACTTCCTGCGCACTGTCAAGATTCGGCTGGTGAACCAGCACGGCCTAACCAAGTATGCGCCGCTCATCAGCTTCAACGGCAAGCTCATGATCATCTCCATCGCCATGGACGCCCTCCTTATCGGCCTCATGTTCCTCCGCAACCAAGTCGTCTACATCCAATTTCACCCCGTCGCCTATATGGTCAAGCTCAACATCGAAATGTCCATGGCCTCACTCGTCGTCCGCCTCGCTCAGGGCAAGTCCCAAAACGACATGGGCCCCGAGGAATTCCACAGCACCACCGATCCCGAATCGCATTCGCGCTCTGCCGCCGCTGCAAAGTCCCTGCAGCTTACCAACCGCTCTAAGCGCAACCAACCTTCGAATATGCGCAGCGCGGGTCTTAGCAAGATCGATAGCGACGAGAGTCTCGATCTTGGGGGGATTCAGTGCCACACTGAACTCCGTATTACACACGAGGATCGCAAGGATACGACTGATAGGAGGGATTTTGTGGAGAGCAGCTCGAGGAGCAGTAATGATGCGGCTGCGCTCAGCGTGTTTGGGGATGAGACGCCCTTGCATAAGAAGACATTTAGAGTGCAGGAGAAAGAGGTGTAATGAGACATATTTTCCTTTGTTTGGCATAATTAGATAGAACTGCGTTCTTAGTTCGTAGTAATGATACCCGTCTGTTAGCGGCTTTTGTAATATATGACTGGAAATTCTTGATACTGCTTTTCTTTCTCTGTGTTTTTGTTGTCAGGGGTGTAGCCAAATCACATATCAGGATCATTGCATCAAGAGCTACTGGGGCTGGAGATACAACTTTACATAGACCAATATTAAGAGCAAACATTCTAAAGTAATCTAATTACCCTATCCCATACTCAGAACCCCTTTTACTAGACACCCACGATTACTAAACCCAACCCACCCTCTAATCCACCAACCCCACAACCCTCCACCCTCCTGCCTCCATCTCTCCCATCGTCCCAACCGCAGAAACCATATAACCCACCCTCCCCTCCGCCGCCCCCGCAACAACATGCCCATGCACCTCCCCCGTTCCCACATCCACAACCAACGACCCACAATCCGCAACACTCAGACTCCCCTATACTCAAATTGCAACACCTCTGCCACTTTGCTACTCCCAGGTAAACGCAGCAGCATAGGTATTTCGAGCAGCGAGGCGCGGAGACGCCCCCATGTTGTGTGGATTACTACTTCTACTTTGTGAGGGGGGAGGAAGGGTTTGGGGGGAGGCTGAATGAAGCAGTTGGAGAGGGTGTCTAGAACGGTGGTGTTTGTTATGGTGGTGAAGATCCAATCTTGGTTAAGGGTTGAGGTGGGGGAGGTGGGGGTCCAGTGGTCGAGGTGGTGGAGATCGATGTCATCAAGGCGCATGGTGCGGTTTATGTAAGGTTCTGGGGCTGTGGGGGGAGAGGAGGGGGTTGTTGGGGGTAGAGACGGGGTGAACGTCGTTACGTCTTGGGTATCGAGTGTTTCTGAGGAGGAGAATCGGAGAGATGAGTCGGAGAGATGAGTCGGAGAGGGTTGTGCTTTGAGATAGGTCGGAAGATGGTGAATCCTGCGAGCTTTAGCTATATCGAGATAGGAGTTCGAGGTCTTCGTCGTCGTCATCGTTGAAGTCACCGCTATCCGAGTCATCGTCGACACTGGTGTCTTCGCCCCATCCGACAACAGGCTCCGTCGCCACATCTTGTGCTTGGACGACGTGTGCGGCTGTAAAGTACCAGGTCCCCTGTTTGCTAACCACCACGTTGCCAGTAGCCTTCTGAAATGTTCCATCGTCGTCCCGTACATACAGTGCCATTCCTATCGACTGAATCTCGAATCTGGGATCGTAATAAACATCACGCCGACCTGGAACGAACAGATTATCTTGAGTTTCTTTCTTTGGCCCCTGAGCGACTAGGACCAAACACCCAGTAGGCAAGAGATCCATGATCGCAGTCTCGAACCCAGGGTAACGCTTCAAGATTCCACACTTCTTCACAATCTTCTGCGCCTCCTTGGCTGCATTTCTGTTCTTGCTTACAAACACGAGAGCAGGGATGGCTGTAGGTGGAGAGTAGCCAATCATATACACACTGATGATGAGGCCCGAGCGATCAGGTCGTTCAGTGCATTCGTTCTCAAGTTTCTTCCATACCAGGCGGCTGAAACTATTGTAGGCTTTCAAGGCCTCGCCTCGGACGTCCAAGCATAGGTCATCTTTTTGCCATGGGGGATACTTGAGGCAGCAGCATCGGGCCATGAGTTCTCCTACGGATTCCTCAGGTGAGGTGAATTGGCGGATGCGCCGAAGCATTGGAACACGCGACTCGAACATTGTGACGGTCGACTAAGAATTGAAGTGACACAGAACTATTGAGCACAAGAACACGGCCACTGGGATTAAGTAAGAAGGGGAGTGCGGATGCGTGGATAGCGGGGTGGTCAACCTCAGACGCGCCAGTGTGCCTACGGCGCAGCAAGGAAATTTTCGTCCTATCATTTCATGTCCAAGGCTGAAGCGCATCTGTGGGCAGCAAGGTGTAGCCCCTCCTGCATATTTGATAGTCTGGAACTTAGTCTCTCGCTTTAGCATGCAGGCTGAGCAACGTCACATTCATTGCATGATATTAATTCCCATTATCAACAGCCTTCTCCTAGGACAACCATATCCAAAGAAAAACAACACTCCAAGACAACCCAAGCGTACCAGTCGAAGACGAAAAACTCCAACTCGAAATCATATCACGACTATGCCATCAAACCACCCCAAACTCGACTGGCCCATCAGAACTCCACTGGGTCCCATACATGCTCTACTACAACACCCAATACAACACTGCAATCCAAACCGACAAGGGCGTCTGCACCACAGTCCGCAAACACGCCGACATCCAATTTATCGCACAGCACATGCACTCCTCTGCCCCCAAAGCGGCCATAAAATCCCATATCCAACCCTCCATGCGGGAATTCCGAACCCCCGAAGATGTAGACACCATGCTCAAAAGCTCTGTCATGCTCGTCGCCCGCCTCCTCAGCATGACAGACATTGGCCCCTTACCCTACACCCGCAGCGGAACCCACCACTCCCTCACCTGGACATTCCCAACATCCAGCCTGCAAGATCTCCTCCGCTCACATTTCGTACCGCAGAACCCTGCAGGCTTCGAGCAAGATAGCTCGGATATGCTCTTCGGCGAGGACTTCACAGCCTACAAACTGCACCGCTACTGCGGCGTCGAAATCACTTGGACAAGTAATCTAGCAGACCACCTGCACCTCTCGCGCGGTGGGAAGCAACTCTACATCTTCCACCACGCGTCTTTTCTCCAATGGCAAGATGGTGTACTACCGGCTGGTCTAGCGGCGGAGACGCTGGATACGCTGGCCCTGCTTTTCCCGGCCATCGATGCGAAAACGAGGGAATGGGTCACGCATTCGCCCGCGCTGGCGGGTGTTGATATGCGGATTTTGGAACTAGTTCAGTTGAGGGATTGTCGAGGTAGCGACTTTAGGTATTGGAGGAAGAGACTGGGCGCGCTGGAAAGGGTGTTCGAGGCGCCACATCGGGGGTCCATTGCGCAGCAGTGGCGGGATAGACGGGATAAGGCGCAGTGGTATACATTTTGGGTTGCCATGGTGATTTTGTGCTTGACGGTTTTCTTTGGAGTGGTGCAGAGTGTCGAGGGGGCGTTGGAGGTGTATAAGGCGTATCATTCTACGTAGTTTGAAGATTTGGTTTTAAGTTCACGTTGAGGATTCATGACAACGCATCTGTGATTCATTGTAAAGGCAGAATAGACTTGTTTGAATGCCTGAAAGTTCTCCACTTATTTTTTGAACACCGCTCGCTAAAGCACCCGTATTCCATAGCTAGTAACTGGGTATCTCTTTTCCACTCACACTCGTGAATACTGTTCCACCCTGTGCTTGACCGGCAAAACGATATAAAACGACAAGAATAGACAGAAAAACGCCATCGCTATGCTGATACTAAACGATTCTTTGGGTAAAATATAATACATTCTCTCCTTGGCAAAGAAAAAGATCCTAGTCGGAAAGCTCAATGGCGTCGTCTTCGGTTGCTCCGGGTTTCATGGTGTTTTCGCCCCCATCTTCATTCTCTTCTTCAGACTCATCTTCCTCTTCCTCTTCCTCTTCCTCTTCGTCCTCGTCGTACTCGTCGTAGTCGAGGAGTTCATCATCGTCCTCGCCTTCCAGCATCTCGGAATCTGCGTCTTCGTCGTAGCCTTGATGATCGGACTGGGCAGCAGGGAACTGAGAGCCGGGATACGAGCTTGTTGCACCGACAAATTCCTCATCATCGGTCATGACGGCATTTGAGTCTTCAGCGTCAGCATCAACGACGTCAACTCCACTGGCTTCTTCCGTGTCGCTGTATTGTTCTTGGGTGTAGCCCTGGGTTTGGGCTTGCGCGTGCGGGACAAACGACTGCTGGGTTGGGATTGGAGATGAGAAACTCATAGGCTCTGTACTAGCCGGTCGTGTGCTGGACGGTGATTTGCTAAGGCCCTGCTCTACTCTGTAGGCACGAACAGCATCCGCACCGCGACCGTAGAGATGGCGAGGTACAAACCGACTTGTGCGTCCCCAGTATGCTGGACGGTCCTTGGCCGACACCGTGCTGCCGAAGCTACTGTTATCATACATTGACCGCTGACTCTGAGATGCTGAGAAGCCAAGATTTGGGACGCTGCGACTCCAGTCATGCTGTACATTTAAAGTTGTATCATGATGTCCTGCAAGCCCTTTGGCGCGTGCAATGAGTTGGCTGGCATTTCCATCAAAGGAATCGGCTTTATAAACAGACATTGCGCTATTGGTGTGTGGAGGTGGCGGCATTTCGGACTTGGCGCCGGCCACTATCCTTCGAGCTCTTTCGATCAAGCTGCTAGTAGAGTCGTTGAATGAGGCTCGACCACTGATAGAAGCAGCCCCGTTGATCGACTGAGACGGAGATATTGTGTATGTCGAGCCCTTGAAGGATCGTTTGATGGCTTCAGCCCGATCAACCTGCTCCTCGTCCATAGTCTTAGGCGTAGGTGGTAATTGACTCTCTACTGAAGGAGAATTTGATAATAGCTTGGGTCGCTTGGACTCAATCAGCTTTGGCTTTTCTTCATCGGAAGAGGTAAAGTCAAAACTCCTCTTTCGGTGTTTGCTAGGATCAATGCCCATCGCTCGTAGTTTGAACCAGTCTGTTTCTGTTCGATCTACAGGCGCCGTTGCAGCAGCCTGTCGGTAGGCTTGCGAATAAGCGAGTGCCGAAGAACTTTCTTTGCCTGTGTTTGTGTTTGCTCGATTGTTGTGAGAACGGCCCATTGCCCTAGGACTTGTGTTGTTAGGAGTTGCGTCGGGATTTGTTGTGTTGATTGCTTCGGAGACCTGCGCGTTTCGCCGCTCTTCTGTTCGTTTAGCACGTCGAGTGTTGGACGAACGTTGTTGCGGTGCTGCATAGCCATCAGGCTGACTTGTTGGCCCCGCTTCACCATTCAGGGTAACAGTCTGCCAGAGGACAGACGCATCTGTGTGCTCCTTCTCTCCCATCGGCATCGTCCGAATACGCTTCTCTTTTAATCGCCTCCTCCTCTCTTTAGCCTTTTGCATTCGCTTCTTCTTTTGAACCGCCGCCATTATCTTAGCCAACCCCGCCCGCTTCAATTCCACCAAATAATTTTCGTACTTGCGATCCACATGCGCCACTCTCCTCTCCATCTCCACTGATTTTGCAGCTTCATTCGAAATGTTGATAACCGCATTCTCGATGAACTGCATCAACAGTCCTTCCTGGGGGTCAAACATGACATCCGACGTAAGCGTACGTAATGCTAAATCCATTTCACGTAGTCGTTTCGCCTGAGCTTCCTCCTCTTGTGCTTGACGTTGCCTCGCTTGTCGGGCCAATTCCTCCTGCTCTTCACGTGCTCTGCGCTCTCGCTCTGCTTGCTCTTTTCGTTGACGTTCTGCCGCGGCAGCAGCTTCCCTCTTTCGCTCCTCCTCTTTCGCTTGCTTTGCCCGTTGCGCTTCTTGCACACGATGTCGTGCCTCATCTTCTCGTCGTTGTTTCTCAGCTGCTTCAAGCCGGGCCTTTTCTGCTCTTTGCGCTTCGGCTTCAACTTCTTGTGCGGACGTGTCTTCTTGGGGCGGCGACCCTGCTGGTGTGAAAGAAAATGATCCTGCTGGTGTTGAAGAAACCCTAGGTTCTGTAGTCTCCTGTGGAGGTGCAAAGTTGAAGCCTGGTGTAGTGAAATTGAATGCAGGAGCTGGCTTAGGAGCCTCAGCTGATGGGGCTGGCTCAGGTTTCAAAGCTGAATCCTGTGGTTGGAATTTCGACTGTGCAGCTGTAAACGCCGAAGGTAGAAAAGGGTTGCTTGGTGCCGCAGACGTTGTAGGCTGAGGCGGAGTAGTGTTGTTATTCAAAAAGGGATTTGTTGAAGGTGCGAGTGGGGCAGATTGGAAAGGCGAAGAGTTATTTTGCTGAAGAAATGGGTTCGCGTTCGCATCTGCCGGCGACGCGAATTTGATGGGATTCTTTGAAGGATCGAACACGCCGGATTGGGGAGCCTTGGCAAAAGGATTAGAGCTTCCTGCGGGTGCACTGCTGGGTTGGAACGGAGAAGCCGTTGGGTTGAAACCGCCACTTAATGGCTTTGGCCCGTTTGACTGCTGAGAAAAGATGTTTGGTTTCTCTGGAACGAACAACGACGTTTGGTCTTCTGCTTGACCAACTTGGTTTGTGAATGCATTGTTGAAAGAGAAACCACCCTTCTTGGCTTCCTGTACTGTCAAACCTGCGATGACGGCTGAAAGTGGACGGCCGTGACGTTTGGCCTCAACAATCGATGCGGAGAAGAATTGAGGTTTAACATCGGCTTTGGGAAGAACCACAGCTTTCCTCTCATAACTCTTTTGCTTGATATCCAAGAAAGTATGACCTGCTTCGTTCACTTCAAACACAAAACCGTGAGCTTCACAGAATTGAACCGCCTCCGAGTCAGTATCCATGCCCAGGACTTCTCTCAGCTTGCCAGTCGTCCACTCTTCAACACTGACTTGATGTCTGTATTGGCCAACTCGATAGGCACGCCAAACCGAGTCTAGTACGACGTGGCGTACCCTGTTGAAGCAGATCGCAGCAGCGCATGCCATCAGATATGAGACTCTCGGCGACTTGATCAGATCCCAGAAAACCTTCCAGTTGGACTGGCATTGAACGAAATTGTCGTAGTTTCGGTGAATGATGATTGTTTTGAGAACGCGGAAGATTTCCAAGGCAGTCTTCACTCGTGGATTGTTTCGCAGGTCGCTGGGCAAGCGGTGTAACTCGTTCTCGAGCTGTGTATTGGCGTAAATAGGAGCCAAAATCAAGCGATACGCCCAGAACTCGGCCTCGTTCTCTGACACAATGCCAGCTCGCCGATTGTCGCCATATCGCTCCTTTAGTGAGATCAAAGTCTGATTCAGTTGCTCAACATCCTGCTGATGCGAGTAATCGTCCTTTGTACTCTGAGCCATATGATGGGCCGATAGCATATAGAAACGGGCGCTGTATTCGAGGGAAGTGAGGAGGACTGCGATATCGGTTTTGTTCTCAATGCGCTGAGTGCGCAAGTCTTTCCGGACGGCTCGTGTTCGGTCCCAAAGCCACGAATGAAGGAATTGGAAGTCGTCTTCGTCTAGTCGCCCAAAAAGGTACTTGAGGGTTTTCTACAGTAGTTAGTTAACTGTTACTTAGAGGCTGCTGGCGACTTACCAGGCAAGTGGAGGGCGAGCGAATCTCTGAGACCAATTCTACATCCATACCCGCTGCAGAGCGCGCATATGCCTTGACCATGCGCGACTCGTCTGGGATGCGCTGACTGCGACTGGGTAGGTGCTGGGTCTCGGGTGTCTGCGCAGGTCAGTGAGAGTATTTTGTATATCGCAATTGATACTTACGCATTCCGGTGCTTTAACATCTAGCTCAACGATGCGACGCACGCGCTCATACTCTGGACACATTTCTTCGCATATGCCGTAGAGCTTGACTGAGTCGCTCAGACGCATCTGGCCTTCTGGATTCATGAGCCCATTTTTAATGAATTGCTCACGAATCTTGGGTCGCTCTGATTTAATCTAGTCCTATCAGCGCTGCCCCGGAGTATGTGTAGGAATTATCGTACATAATTCAGACGTTTCTGATATTCGTGGGGCGCAAAGTTCGGCGTGTTGTTCTTGTTCGAGGCAAAGGCGTTCCTAGAGATACCCGGTTAGAATAGGCCGCGAGCAGCCATAGGAAGCCCTCGTCTGGCATATGTCGCAAGAATAGTGATGATGTGCAGTGTATCCGGGTGATGACGCCCTTGGTCCGCCCACGACCTGTAGCCATGTCAGAGGAAACACGAGAACTTACGAAGAACCGAAATGGCCGCCCCGCGCATTGAATCCACCATTGCCATTCGAACCGCCTCTGCCACCGCCCGTGTGCTGTCGTCCTTGTCCACGCGTATAGAGGGTTTGCGCCGGTCGCTCATCATCGCTCTGCGCGTTATTCTTTCCACGTCCACGGTTCGAATTCGGAGTGTAACTGCCTCTTCCACCGCGTCCTCTCTCACTCCCGCCACCCCTTCCACCGCGCGGAGTTGCCATAGTCGCGACTCTATCACAAGATACGTTTCGTGCGCGATCAGTGAGCAACGTCACAGTCAATGATCGGATCTTGGGAA